TAATTTTATTTAATGATTTTTATTGGGCCACCACTCAATCTCAGACATAACTTAAACCATACTTTATTAATTGGACCCCACAGGGGCCCCCATTTGATTTTAAATGTACTTTAGTTATAGTAGTTCAATTAAGTTTTATAATATTTCGCATTGGAGAAAAAATAACGTGAGAAATAATTTTTACACGTTTCATAGAGGATATTAATTATAATCTAGAAGGATCCTGAAGGTTCTATTTTGTCATGGCAAATATATATATTAGGCCATAATAGTTGCGGCCTTCCCTATCCTCCCACTTATCTCATCCTCCATTGAGAGGGTGCTCGATATGTTGGATCCCAGTTATGTGAATCTGTCAACAGTATCCAAGTCGTAGTCGTCGATGGCGATAGTGGGGAGGGAGTCAGCGCCCTGTGCCATAATGTTAGTTTTCTTCAAGCTAATTGTCAGGCAATACTCTTTGCAGGCAGCGGATAGGCTGGTTAGGAGGCTCTGCAGGCCGTCTGCTATGTGAGATACCAAAGCGGCATCATCCGCAAACAAGAACTCCCGCAGCAAGACCTTTCTTGATTTAGTCTAGCTCTAAGGCGGGCAATGTTTGAATAATTTGACGTCATCTCTAGTGGGGATGTATATCTCCTCGTTGTTGTTCTGAAAAGCATACTGGAGTAGAATGGTGAAAAATATTGCAAATAAAGTAGGAGCCAGCACGCAACCTTGCTTTACTCCACTACTCACTGGAAAAGCTTCTGAGGTGACTGCGTTATAGCACACTGTGCCCTGCATGTTTTCGTGGAACTGCTTGATGATGATAAGCAGCCGTGTAGGGCAGCCTATCTTTTTGATGATCTGAAACAGGCCGCTTCTGCTGACAAGATCAAAAGCCTTAGTGAGGTCGACAAACGCAATATATAAAGGCATATGTTGCTCCCTGTAATTCTCCTGCAGCTGGCGCAGAGAGAAGATCATGTCTATGGTTGACCTACTGGCGCGAAAACCACATTGCGATTTTGGGAGTACACGTGGTACTAGGGTCTGTAGGCGTGTTAATGCAACTCGGGCGAAAGACTTTCCAACTATGCTGCGGTGGGAGATTCATGGATAGTTGTGCAGTCACTCTTGTCTCCTTTATTTTTGTACCATGTAACGATTTTTGCATTTTTCAACTCTTGTGGTAGCTGTCCCTGTTCCCAGAAAAGAGTAAGGAGATCGTGCAAGGGCCGTAATAGTACTCCTTTTCCACATTTGAGAGCTTCTGGTGGGGTACCATCATTGCCGGGGCTTTCCCACTGGCCAGACAATCGATGGCTCTACGTAGCTCTTCTATTGTGGGTAGGGTATCAAGCTCCTCCATGACCGGCAAGTCTGGGATATCGTCCAGGGCAGAGGTTGAGTTTTGGTTTATCGTTGGGTATATTTCCAAGTAGTGCTCTATCCACCGCTTAAGTTGTTTATCTCGATCAGTAATAACTTCCCCTGATTTGGACATTAAGGGCTCAGTCTTGGAGATCAGAGGGCCTGTTGCTTGCTTTATATTCTCGTACATTGACTTTGCATCACCTCTATCAGCAGTTGATTGTATGCTGGAGCTTAGATTGAGCCAGTATGTGTTAGCATAGTGGCGAGCCGCCTGCTGGGCATTTGTCTTGGCACTTTCAAGCGATTGTGAAGTTGCTGGGCAAGGTCTGTCTTTATAAGCTAAGAGGGCCTTTCTTTTTGCATCTGTGACATGTTTCATTTCCTGCCAATGGGCCTCGAAACAATCTGCATTTTTTGCGTTCTCTCTTTCCAAATGCCTTATAGCTGAGTTATAGAAAATGTCCCGCAAATGGGACCATTTGGACTCAAAAGTGTCCATTGGTGGTGTTTGTACAAGAACTTCTTGTAGACTATGGGTGTATACTTCTGTTCTCTCTGGGTGTTTGGTGGAGCAGATCTTTATGTGTGGTTTACTCTTGTTTTTAGTGTGATACAGTTTCTTTGGCTGTAGCCTCATCTTGCTAGCCACTAAGGAATGATCAGTGTCGCAGTCTGCGCTGTGGAAGCTGCGTGTGAGGAGGACACAGTTGTGTGCGTCTTGTGATTATGAGATCTAACTGGTGCCAGTGTTTAGAGCGGGGATGCCTCCATTACACTTGGTGGATAGCCTTACATTTGAAGAAGGTGTTAGTTACACATAGTCCATGTAGGCAGCACAGTTCCAATAGTCTCTGCCCATTTGCATTTAGCCTGCCTCTTCCAAAATAACCGAGGCATGTTGGCCAGGCCATGTGATCGCTTCCTACTCTTGCATTGAAGTCACCCAAAAGGTAAATTGCTTCGTTGTTGGGTATGCTGGCTTTTGTTTGATTAAGATCGGCGTATTGTTTGATTAAGATCTGCGTATTGTTTGATTAAGATCTGCGTAGAACTGGTATTTGGCTTCTGAGCTGGAGGAAAGTGTTGGGGCATAAGCACTGAGGATGTTGACTAAACCTGAAGATGTTGATAGTCGGATAGTTAGTATTCTATTTGTGCCCTGTGTCGGTGGTTCTATGGAGGAGCAGAGTGTGTTTTTTATAGCAAAACCAATCTCATGTTGTCTTGATGCGTCCATTGGTCCACCCTGCCAGAAGAAAGTGTAGTTGTGTTCTCTTATGGTACCAAAATTGGGGAGCCTAGTTTCCTGGAGACAGGCAATATCAATGTTTAGCCTGCTAAGCTCTCTATCAATGATAGCTGTCTTCCTTGCATCGTTTATGAGCAGCAGGTCGGCAGTAATGCCCGGGCACATTGTCCTCACGTTCCAGCTTGCTAGTCGAAGAGCTGGGGTTTTTGTTTTTTTTTTTTTTTTTTTTTTTTTATTTATAGGTGCATGTTTTTGTAGCCTACTTGTTGAGATGTTCCTCTGAGCTCCACGCACCCATTGAGACATGGCGATCTCTTCCACCGTCAGAAGCAACCCCTCGCGCCTAGCTCCTCGCCAATTGAGCTATGGCTTAAAACCGGTAACTGCTGCCCCCCGTGTTGTGTTCACACCATTCGGCGATGCTGGAGTGTCTTCTCCAGTGAAGATATAGCCTGGGCGAAGTAGTATGGAGCATCAGGTGCTGCCCAGGCAGCAGATCCCCCCTCTCCACGCCAGTGGTGGACCCAAGGGATCAACTAGTGTCGATACGGCTTGGCACCATTGGCGTCGCAGGAGCTGCCGGAATGCAATTGATTTCAAAAACATACCGCCTTAGGAGCTCCACTTCCTGATTTTCTGTCGTGATTTACTCCCTTAGCTTTTCCCGTGTGGGTATAGCCGCAAGGCAGTGGAGGTTTGGAGTGAGAGATTTTTTTTATTATCACATCGGGAAAAGGTGGCCTATTTTTCCTTTCATCTTGCCGATTTTTTCCACAACTATCAAAACAGTACCAATTACAATTAATACGATCTATTTAGTTATTAATAATGAATTGTAGAAGTTGTAAAATAATAGTTTATCAAGCGATTAAAAATTGTATCGAAGGTTTATGTATATGTTTTGGTATAGTCATCATCATTTAAAATAAAAAAGACTGGTGCTATGCCAGTGTACTCTCAAAATAAACGGTTCTCCACCTGTGTGACGTGACCCCTCGGGAGTTCAAACGACCATTTTACAGGGGTCACCTGAAATCATCCGAAACACAGATAATCTACAGTTATGAAGTAGCAACGAAAATAATTGTATGGCTGTGGGTCGCAATACCACGAGGAACTCTATTAAAGGATGCGACATTAGAAATTGTGCTCTAAATAATTTTAAAAATCTCTACTTTTAACGGGACAGCCAAACTTATCCCCAACCGATTAATTTGGCACTTTTTTTCTTTATTGTGACTTTTATGTAGAAGGCGTTTACACAACTTCCCCATTCCGTGAACTCTGGCTGACCCCACATGAGACGGTGTGGGTGGGTGTGGCCATTTTTTTTTTCATCTAGCCGATGTTTTCCACAAGTATCAACTAAAAATAACTAATAAATCCTTATAGAATTTGGGGAAACTTCGATAATTGACTAGAAATATAAACAATGTAGAAAACAATTCTGGAAGCGTTGGTCCTACAGACGAATAGATATAAAAAGGGGATTCAGAGATTCATCGAGATAGATTCAAATATATATTTTTTAACTTTACGAGAAGTGTTATTATTCTTTGTGTACTAAAATGTGTTTATTCTCATTTCATTATTGTACATTATTAATTGGCACACTGTACTAATTGTTCACCGGTACAAGACTTCTCCTACTCTGTAAGTTGATGATTTGTAATTATATTTCTTTTGTTTTGTAATTATATTAATACCTAAATAAATCTTATTTATTGTTATTGGTACTGTTGTTGACTTTGTACCGCGCTTCGAGCCCTTGGGGATAAAGCGTGCTTTTGAAATGAACTTTATTATTATTATTATTATTAATTATAAATTTTTATAAAAAGTTAATACATGTAATCATGTAAAATTCAAATTATTATTACGATCTCAATCTTACACAATTTTAATTGTTTTAAACCGGCAGCACCAAGTGAGTCAATTAAGCGATTTTATATACGTCATTATTTGCTAAGTTATATAGTTTTAATGTAGTTTCAAAATGCATATTGGTTGCTAAATTATTATAAAAAGTACTTTTCTTTTTTGGCAAAAAATTGAGTTAAATGGATACCACTGCTTTACTGTAGTTAGTTCGGTTGATGTCTTTAAAATCAGATGATTTATTTAGGTTTAAAGATTAAAAATCTAATTAGTTCGGTTGATGTCTTTAATTTGATTTTTAATCTTTAAACCTAAAAAATCATTTTATTTTAAAACAAAACCAAAAGCAAACTAAAAAAAATATAACGGATATTTCCAATAAATTCAAAATGTGTGTTTTCCACGATATTTCCGAATGCATCAAAATGTGTTTTCCCGATATTTCCGACATAATCAAAGAGGTTTTCCCCATATTTCCTAATTTTTCTAACTGCGATATTTTTTCCAACTCTTCAAGGCGTTTGAATTTGTTTTTAGATGTTTAAAAATATATACTAAATGAACAATGAACGAGTTCTAGTCGGTCAATTTATTATATTGTATCTGTACTAAGATTTTGTTTTCTGGCGAATTAACTTCACAAAGATATGTTTAAATTATAATTATTTTATATTCGACCAAAATGATTTTCATGAATTCAATCAGTTTTTGTAATGTGATGTTGTTATGGGCATCCTATTTATCGTTAAAGAATTGTGCAGGTATTAATAAACATAATGAGTGTATTTCAGATTATTAAAGCACGCAAGTTTTATTAGTCCCCCCCCCAAAAAAAAAAAAAAAAAAAAAAATTAAATAGAACATTATCTAATGAGCTTTAGAATTAGTTGAGCAATTTTTTAAATAAAAATTGCCAGTATTAATATTTGTTTAAGACCAGACCACCACACAGAATTTTGATACTAGTTTAAAAAAACAAAAACATCTTTTATAATTATTAATCTAAGATTTTTTTTACTTGCAAATATAGCTTCCATTGTTAAGTTATACTTTGTTTGTGTGTTTAATATAAACAGTTACATTTTTAATAACATAGATTAGTAATATTGCCAAAGAGAATACTCGAGACCCTTTAAATAAAAAAAACAAATAAAAAATTATACACCCCTGTTCTCTCGACCAAATTTACATCTTATATATAAATGTGTGTGTGTATTCGCCATTCAATAAAAAAATAATAATATATTTTTTAAATCATTACATTTTTAAAGGGCAGACGATACACTTGGCGGAGTTCAATAAAAGTGCATGTAAAGCGGATTGCACAGAGGGATTGCAGAGCTTTAGTTACAAATGTCAATTTACAATTATTGTAAAAAATGAAAATAATTTTTTCGAAAATGGTTCTTTTAATTTATTATACAAAAATATGATTTCTGGAAATTTTGAGCCAGTAAGTTAAAATCCATTTATTTTATATATGTTTTCTATACCCATACATTTCCATATAATAATTATTATTATAAATTGTTCTAGCTCGTTAATGGTTTTTAACACTTAATCAATAAAAAATATTTAAAAAAGTAAAACAATACCAATGTAAATTTTCTTCTTTTTATTAAATAATTTTATGTTAAAAAAGTTGAAACGTAATAAAAATAATAAGTTTGGTTTTAATTGATTTTGTTTTTTTTGTTTTTTTATTACGCAGTCACTTGCTTAATGAGCAGATGAAACGTAAACAAAAACACCACATTATTTTTCTGTTCTCAGACACAACTACTGGCTAAAAATATCTTTAAAAAATAATGTTATTTCCATTTCAGTTATCTAGTCTTAAACGTCTCAAAGATTGTGATGATTTCAGTAAAAGCTCTGATTACAGGTGTTTTAGAAATGGCACAAACATGTTTTATATTTCAATGTATGTAAAAGCTAAATTACTCAATGAAGGAGCTGAAGTTAAGTGTAAAATCATAATAAATACAACCGAAACGGTTTCCAGTAATGTTCGACATGTTATAGGATTAACAGGTAATGTTACTTTGTTTTTCATTTTATTTGTGGAATTTTTTTATATAATTAAAATGGCATTTGATATGTAAGCTTTTAAAATTTTATTTGTATTTGAATACGTAAAAAAAAGACATATAAATATACGCAAAATATATGTTAAAGAATGAATATAGTTGTTAAGAACAATGTAAAGTTTATTATTTTTTTCATTTTGCAGACATGCCAGATCGTACACATGTGGCTGGATATTTGACAGTCAATGGTCAGTCTGCTTTGATAGATGAGTGTAACATCAAAATAGCAGGCGAACATTTAGAAATAAACTTTCAATGCAATGCTTCCACAAAAGAATGTGCAATACGGATGGACATAAATGGCGGACAAAAAATTAAATATGATACAAATAGTATTAAATTCAACCAAAACTCAATTGGCGTCAGTGAAGTTAATGTTCACATTAACATTTCTTCCTGCACTTTGGATGAAAATGTGACAAGTTTCAATTGCACTCTTCAACCTGGTATGTTCATTTCAATCTCTAATTAGTTAACTTTCAATATTTTGGTAACATAAGAATTGTCTGCATCTTCAAACCGTTTATATTTTTATATTTCCTTTTTTTTTTTTTTGCTGGCATCCGTCCGTCACAATGTGACGATGGAGTGGGCTCCAGGGGAGAAATCCACATGGCCTGGGATTATACTTCAAGGATTATAAGCTGGTTCCCAACAGCAAATCGCCTCTCTCCGCGCCGCTGGATAACCCAAGGGAACATCATTGGATGATACAGCTTGGCACCAGTGACGTCGCAGGAGTTGTCGGAATGTTTCATTGTATCAATGTTATCCGCCTTTCGGGACGCCATTTCAGGGGTTTTGATTTCAGAGTTTCCTTCTCTTAGATGAGTTGCCTTCCAAGGTTAACGAGTCCCATCTACCCGGGGTGCTGGTGGTGTTTTTGCTTGACTGGGCTCTTGCTGGAATTGATCCCCAGACCACCAACCTGAGATTTGCTCAGTTTAGACCACTTGGCCAACAGTTTATATTACCTTAATTTAAATGAAGACATTGCTTATATTTGCATAAAATTATGTTTTTTTTGAATGAAAGTAAATTATTCTTTATTTTATTATTTAATTATAATTACTTTCAGAGCTGTGAAAGGACTATATAATGTTTAAAGTTAAACATGAAAATTCAAGAAAAAATATAAAATATAAACAAATACAACATATAATGTAAGAGCGGGTTATATATTTAATAAGCTCAAAGTCTATAAACAGGTGTAATATTTGCTTAAATTTAAATACATAAATAAAAAGTAAATACCAGTTAAGGAAACGAACATATTTTTGAAAATATTTATTGTAACTTTGCTCTATCAGTTATATCTGTCATTTTGTTTGTAAAATGATTATATATATATATATATCTCTTCTTCTTCTTCTTCTTATATTTGAGGTGCCCACGATCAATTTGTTGATCATTCTGGCTCCTGGTTTTAAAATCAGAGTTTGCCTTCTCTTAGACAGGTTGCCGTCCAAGGCTAACGAGTCCCATCCACCCGGGTTGCTTGGGATGGCTTTGGTGGGGATTGAACTCCAGACCACCAGCTATTTCGTTTGAGACAGTTTAGACCGCTAGGCCACCAAGCTACCAAGATATATATATCTCTTTCTCTCTTTCTCTCTCTCTCTCTCTCTCTCTCTCTCTGTATATACATATATATATATGAAAAGAAGAGGCGGATATTCTAACGATATTTATTTTAAGTTAAATGATGTGTTTTTTTTATTATAATGCGATGAATTTAAATACCTTAACCAGACCTAATATAAATCCTTTTAAAAGAACCGATTCACTTTCGAAAAAAAGAAAAGAAAAAAAAAAAGAATTCAATGAAGGTAATGATTCAACTCTTGTGCGAGGGAATATAGTTAATACTTTCTTTAAAACAAAATATCGGATCACATCCAACTAACCCAAAAACTTCAGGTGGGACTGATCAAGCAAAAATTAAGGTCGACACAAATTATTCACATACAAAAATACCTGCTAAGCTTGTCCCAAGCTGCTTTATTGCTGAAAAAAAATAAAGGTGTATAAATATAAAGAAATGAAGTTTGTATGTACAGTTCGCTAAACAAATTTTATTGATAAGATTTAAAGCCATGAGAATAATGTTAACTATATTAATATGTATTAGCTTTAGGGCAATATAATAAAGAATTCAGATAACATACATTTGACATTTTTTTAAAATTTGCAAATAATAGTAGGGCTTTGATTTGACGCACCAGTTACTCACACTCAGAACTAAACGATGCTTTTCTGTTCCAATGCCTTGATCCCATCTGCTGTAGATCTTTTTCCACATCATCCACGCCCCATCCATTCTTATGGCACTACAGCTCATGTAGTGCTTTGACCTGCCTCACCACTTCCTTCCGCTCAGACTTAACTAATTCATTTCTTGTCCATGCTTGGACTTTCAGCTGCTGTAGATCTTTTTCCGCATCATCCAGCCACCAAAGCCTAGGTCTGCCTTTGAGCCAGTTTCCTCTGTGATTTTTGTGATGCAGCCTCTTCGTTCCTCTATCATTTGGCATTCTCTCTAGGTGTCCTGCTCTGCGTAGCCTGAGTCTTTTTTATTTCTGCTATTATCGTGGGATCCTGATATAAACTGTATAATCCCTGGTTGGTTCGTATTCTCCATTCTTATTCATCCTTTGTTGACCCATATATTTTCCTGAGAACTTTCCTCTCCCATGTGTTTAATAGGTTTTGTGCTGTTTTTGCTAGGGTCTAAGTTTCACTTGCATATGATACAACTGGTCTGATTACAGTTTTATAAATACTTTTCTTGATTTCTCTTGTAATGTTTTAACTTCTGAGTATTCTGACTACTGAAGTATGCCCTGTTTCCGGCTTATATTCTTTCTTTTGTTTCTGTTAGTAATTCGTTTCTTTTATTTAACAAAGATCCTAGGCATTTGAATTGATTTACTTTTCAAAAGTCTGGTATCTAATTTTAATTGCTTCATATGTTTGTTCTTCTGTTATGTCATGTATTTTGCTTTTTTGGTTGTTAACTTCCAGTCCTGCTTGCAGAGATGCGTCTTCTAAGTCAATAAAGGATTTTGATATGTTTTCAATACTTTTTCATAGCAGTGCTATGTAATCAGCATATGCAAGATACTGAAGTGGTTGGTTGTAGAGTGTGCCCGTTGGTTGTGGGTCTTGATTTTACTCAAAAAGTATCCTGTTACTGTTCCTCGAGTGTCAATGTGTATGTTTCTCAAAACTCTCATAAGTTTATGCTAAAAAGCATACAAACAGTGAGTCTCCCTATCTTAGGCCTCATCTAATCGAAAATTCCCAAACTCTTGCAAAGTATCATATAGCTATTTTGTTTTAATGCTGTCATAGGCCATTTTATAGTCCACATAGAGTTGATGTAATGGTATATTATATTCATAGAATTTCTCTAATAGGCATCTGATTGTGAAAATATGATCAGTCGTTGAGTTAGGCCTGAATCCAAATTTGTAATCATCTAGTATTTCTTCAGTACATTATCCATCAAACTTAACCTAAATCTGACTTTGATTCGTTTTCCGTCGTGGTTTTGGTTCGCGCAACCTCTTCACTCCTCTGTCATTTGGCAATCTTTCTATGTGTCCAGCCCAGCTTAACAAACCTTTTTTTTTTAAATATTCGCTCCTGTCGCGGACCTTGATATAGTCTTTACAATTCCTAATTGTTTCGTATGCTGGTACGTATTTTCCCAATAACTTTCCTCTTCCATGTTTTTAATGTTTTCTGATGTTTTCGTAAGCGTTCCAGTTTCCCTTACATAGGTTATGACTGGTCTATTAAAAATGTAAATGTATGGTTTTCTTGGATTTTCGCATTACATTTACATTTCATTATTTTGTGACTGCCTAAATGTGCCCATGCCCGGACGATATTCATTTTTAAATTCATTTATTAATTTATTTCCTATTTTATAAGGATCCTAGGTAATTGAATTGATTTACCTTTCAAAAAGTGTGGTTTCTAATAATAATGTATTCATCCATCTTTTATTGTTTTAACATAGTTGTTAACTTCTAGTATCTCCAGTATACTATAAAAGCGTTTGATATGTCTTTTCTTTACTATTTTTACCTAACAGTTCTTTTGCCATCACCTTATGCAAGATTCTGAATGGTTGGTTGTAGAGAGTGTCTTTTGGTTTTGTGTCTTGCGTTTACTGTAGAAAGTATACTGTTATTATACCAAATATGTTGAATCTACTAAAAGAGGATATATGTTAAGAGAGAAATATTATTGATATGAAGAATCAAATATAAAATTACCCTTCCTTTAACAATTTTAACTTCAATAGCGCATAAATACATTTTTGTGTGTGTGTTTTTTTTTTTTTTTTTTTTCTTACTGTAATTTTAATAACATTTGCCTTTTAAAAACACTGTAAATTGTGTGTTTTTATTTTTTAAAATATATGCTTACAAATATAATTTCTTACTAAGGAACACTTGATAAGTCAAGTCCAGTGGAAACAACTAAGATCATAATAGCAACCACCATTGCAGTTGGGAGCTTGATAGTCATATGTATTCCAATATGGTAAGATGATCTTACTACGTTTATTGATATTAATGAAAAAAAACTAAAAATTAAAAAAAAAATATATAGTATAGTATATTTANTATATATATATATAAATATATATATATATATATATATATATATATATATATATATATATATATATATATATATATATATATATATATGTTTTATTGAAGAAGAGCGCAAAGTATAGACCAAAATTAATATCGTATGCTTTTTTTATTGTCTTTTTTTATCATTGCCAGTGAATCATATTGCTCTATCTAATTGTTCATTGAAAACTGTTTTTTTGAGAAGGCAGAACATTTCTTGCTATATAAAAAATGTATTCTACCAAAGAACATAGCTAATTTAACCTACTCATAAATAAAATTAAATATATGATAACCAATTACATTCAAACTAGATCTTTACATAAAAATTGAAGTGGAATGTTAATTTCGCACGAACAATATCAAATTGAGTTTTGTATAATGTGTATCAAAAATATATGAAGATGTCTTCTAGTGCTTTACACATGTTGTTTGTCAGTCGGGAGTCGACCATGACCATTTTAATCATCAGAGTTTCTGCTGGTTCTGTCTGTGGGTGCGCAAATGGCTAATGAGGCCGATTCTTGCATGAAATTCTCTTGTGCAATAGGTGCAGGGGAATGATGGTGCATCTCCGAAAGTTTAGTCAGACTGGGCCTGCTTGGCATGTCTCTTGCACTCTGCAGCCGATGTTCTTCCACTTCATGTTGCATGGAGCTCCTGTGTAAAGTGAAACGCTACGACGTGCGATCCTTTGCCTGTTCCTCCCTAGTGTCTTAGTTGATGTTGGACGCTTTCAGTGAGGCTTTATGTTTCTTTAAAGCGTTTTTTTTTTCCGCCAGTAAAAAGCTTTCCTTGTTCAAGCTCACCATAGAAAATTATTGTTTGGAAGACGGTCATCTGACCTTCTCACAACATAAAGCTGGGACTTCATCAATATTGTGAAGATGCTGGGGAGACCTTCTTGTGTGAACACCTCAGTGTCTGGACCCGATCCTGCCATTTAGTGTTGAGGATTTTTCTAAGTCTTGTTGTATGAAAGTGGTTCAGCATTCTTTTATGGCATTGGTAGCATTCGTTTCACAGGCATAGAGAAGCGTGGGGAGAATAGTTTTGATACCTCTCCTGATCCATACGTTCTTAGTCAATCTTCCATGGTTTTCACTTGCTCTCGAAATACGGAGGTTAACCTCGTCATCGATGGTTGTGCTTTAGGACAGTGTGCTGCTGAGATAGGAAAAGACTTTCACCACCTTAAGTTCTTCGTCATATACTTGGATGTTGGGTTCAACATAAAAGTTTCAAGGAGGTGGTTGGTAAATGTCCTCACTTTTAGCTTTTAAAGGGTGATCCCAAAGTGTTCGCAGGCATTGGAAAAGCTTGTGACCCAGCGATTCTTATTCACTTCTAATACATGCGTGTAGGGCACAGTGGTCTGCATACAGAATGTCCCTGATGGTGTCTGTCAGGACCTTAGTTTTTGCATGTAGCCTCTTGGGGTCGAATAGGTTACCGTCAATTCGGTATCTGAGGCCAATTCCATCGTCTCCCTCCCTGAAAGAATTGTTCAGCATTGCGGAAAACATGAGGCTGAAAAGTGATGAGGCAAGTACACAACCTTGTTGCACTCCGTTTGTTACAGAGAATAGTTTTAAGGCTTCTCCATAATCCCGAACTCTAGCCTGCAAAACTAATGGAATAATCATGCCATTGACCCGAACTTTCTGGGGCATCCATGTTTAGCCATGATCTTCCAAAGGCCCTCTCTACTGAAAGTCTCGAAAGTTTTGGACAGGTCTACAAAGATAGAGAATAGGACAACATTTTTTCCCTGCACTTTTCCTGTAGCTGTCTGGCCGCAAACACCATATCGATGGTTCCTCATTCCTTCCGGAAGCCACAATGACTTTCTGGCAGTAAACTGTTTTCAAGATGCCTGTTAAGACGATTTAGAAGGATTCACATATTTTATCGCAACGAAAAGCAGTGATGTCCTTTTGTGTAGGTAAGGGTGAATACTTTGACCCCTTCTCCCGAAATTGATTTTTTTTTTAAGGTCACTTGTACAGTGGCACCTTCAGTCATTAACTACTTAATGCTCCTTACCAAAAAAAACAACAACAAAAAAACTGAAATAAGCCCCCTGGCGAAATGACAAATTGTTCTCATTGAGAAAGTGAGTTAGTCGGATATTTATATTAAATTTACACACTTGTTATAATTGATGCCAAGTCAACAATGTTGAAAAACACAACCAAATGACAACTTTTAGGGTCTTTTTTGTATTCCCAGAGAACACATTTGCCATTTCGTCCACCGGTTATATGCCACCCTTTTTATGTTGCTATAGCTCACAATCTCTGGTTTCTTGGATTCCTGTTACTTTTTATATCTGGGTAATTGTTTATTGTGTTCAGGAACAATATATTTTTCTGCTACGAGCTCTGGTATTTGACAAGTTTGTTTCTAGTCTGAAAAAAAACACGAATTTGTTAAGGGGCAAAGACTTATTTTGCTCACTTTGGTTAGGAACATTTTGTTATGTTTTATTGTTCAAATTAGGGTAAGTCTATTTTTGCCAATCGGTTCTGCAAGTTGTTGGGGAATGAAATTATAGTCTCTTCTTTATCTGCGGCTACTTCCATAGAAGTCCTTTGGGAGAGAAATCACAGTCTCTTAGGATATTCCATAATTTCTCCTTGTTGAAAGGGTACTTGCATTTTCACTGTCAAGATATTTGCATACTCTAAGAGAATAGTTGGAAGACGATTCATTGGAATATATTGAATAAATTTGCATCGACCTCTTCAACCAACTCTGCTTCCCAAAGTCTTATCGCAATGAGATGGATGGTATAGGAACGCATATGGAAGTTATATTTATAATGCACATATTAGAAAAAAATAATAATTTAGGGCCCACGTTTAAAAAGTGAATATTGCAAAATGGTTGTCAAAATTTAGAAACCTACTAAATTATGTAAAACACAAATTGATTAAGTTCCATACACTTTTGCAGACGCTCTGTTAAAATAATATTTGTATAGATCATATTTTTTTAAAAAATAAAAAAATTAGGGCCCACTACCACAAACGCAAAAATTTAAAATGGTTATACTAATTTATAAACCTACTTATTATGTATAACACAAATTGAAATGTCGCAATTTGCATTTGATTAAAATCCCCTCCAACAATTCATTAGTTTTTTAAAGTTATGTTTAAAAAGCTCATATAAAAAACGAAATGTTTTAAAATGTTCGTACTAATTAAAAAAAACTTTGCGGATTGACGCAGATCAATTTAACGATTTTTTTCACAAGCAAATGAATGGCGTAGGAACGCATACGAGCATTATATTTATATAGCTAAATTAAGGGGGAAAACGAATTTAGGGCCCCCGACCAAAAAAAGGGAAAAACGTAGAATGGTTGTGTTACTTCAGAAACCTAATTATTATATCACACACACTAAAGGTCATTTAATTATATTTGATTAAATTCTATCTACCAATGAATTACCTCTGTTTAAAATTATATTTATATAGCTCATATAAGAATACAAAACAAATTTTGCGCCCCTAGCCTTAAAATGGAATATTTTAAAATGGTTTTAATAATTGAGAAATATTTTCGGGCGTGAGTACATTGACTCATTAAAGTTTTATGCAATAGGATCAATGGTAAAATGGCCATACGGACATTTTTTTTAACATAGCTCATTAAAAAAAGAGAATTCGGGGCCAACGACCAAAAACAGAATATTTATAAAGATTTGTATTGACTTCGAAAATTGCACTGGCTTATGGGAAAAAACTCAGAAAATTTTTATCGCAATCACATAATGGTATATGAGCACGTACTATTTGAAATTATATTGATATAACTTATATAAGAGAAAAAAAATAACATAGGGCCACTGGATTAAAACGGAATATATTTGAATAGTTGTAATAATTTAGAAACCTTAGCGAGCGTGCGCACAACCAATTTTTAACGCAATCGTACATATGGTATAGGAGGGTGTACGGAACTTTTTTATACAGATTATATCAGAAAAATAAACGAATTTAGGGCAAACGGCCCAAAAATAAATACTTTAAAATGATTTTAATAATAGAGAAACCGTTACGGGCATGCACGCAACATTTACTAAGTTTTATCGCATTCGTGAAAGTGGTATAGAAATGAATACAGAAATTATTTTTTTTTTCAAAGCTCGTGTTAGAAAAAAGAAATGAAAGGCCAACGGCGAAAACCTAAAAAATTTAAAAGGGTTTTAATTTCTTAGAAATATGCGCGGCCTTTTGGACAACGGCTTACCAAAGTTTAAAAGCAATCGAATCAATGGTATAGGAGTGCAGATTGACAAGCCTGTAGTGGCTTGCCGGTTAGGAGGTGTCGGCCACCAGATCACTCGACGTTATCCATGGAACTAGACCACTATTGCGTGCCCCGCATGGACAGATAGGAGACATGCATGGTACCTGCCAAAAAAAGCAACAGTACCAACAGGGCGTTCAACTGTGATGCTTCACAAGTGGAAGTAAAATCAGAGACAGGATAAGCATCATGAATACAAGATGACGTTAATGGATATGCGGTTGTAGGCGAAAGTAGAAACCTCTGGCCGATGATTATTTTTTCCCCAGCCCCGAGAAAGCTGCTCTTAGGCAACCGTTTCGTCCCAGCTACTTCGCAAACTAGTTGCCGGGCGAAAAACCACTGCAGAGCCACTCTTAAAGGGCGTTTGATGCTTCCCCGGGATGAGAGGGGAAGATACAAGGATTTCAATTTACTATCTCGACTAGAAAAGTCTATCGCGTGCACTGTGTGTATGCAAATCGTCGGCCGAATCGGGTTTCCTTATGTTGGGTGGCCTCCAGCGGAATGCGATAGAGCGGACTCAAGTTAAGTCTGTCCTGACAAAAGGATATCTCAAACGGGCCGTTCGAGGCCCGATACTTTGGCTGGAAGCGGGCAGCTTTGGGCAGGGCAAAAGGAGCTTTAGCTCGAAGGACCGCTAATGCCATTTCTTAATGTGATATTTCAGTATAGGAGCACCTACTGTTTGAAATGTTACGTAATGTTTTAAAATGGTTGTAATAATTCAAGATCATTTGCGGGCGTGTGCACAGCATCTCACCAAAGTGTTATCACATTTGGATAAATTTTATAGGCGTTTATACGGAAATAATTTTTTGCAAAGCTCATATAAGAAGAAAAAAAAGAATTTAGGGCCAAAACGGAATCTTTTGAAATGGTTGTAATGTGTTGTTTATTTCTTTTCTTTAAGTATTTTACTGAAGAAAAAAAGTAATACAAAATCAAAACGAGGTGCGCAGCCGGAAGAACCAAGAAGGTAAAAATGTAATGTTTATATTAGAGAACGATTAATAGTTTAGTTTAGTTTAATTCAAAGTAAAGCCTTGTTATTTCTACCATTGACATATACGTTCTATTAAAATCAATGTCGCAAAGGTTTTTTTTTGTTGTTATGGACACTCTCCCCTTCTTTTTTTTAAAAGAAATTTGGTAGAAATTATTCTTCGAAGTTATTATTTTTCGAATACGAAAAATTCTACAACAAAATACCATAACTTGAATCATGTTTTATTTATGTTAAAAGGGGATCATGGTAGGGGTTTGATCCATTCGATGCATTTTTAATTAATCCTTTGAATGGTTAGCCCTAAAAAAATAAATCATATAAATAATATTTTAGAAATTAAAATATCCCATGTGAAAGGCTTTAAAATGACGAATAAGAATTATAAATTATAAAATTTCTTGGCAATTCTAAATCTGCCACAAATGGAGTGGACATAATTATGTTTAAATCAAATTATATTTTATTATGGACCTTTAAATGGCATGACAATCATTCTCTGCCTATATTCACATTGCAGAATGCATTGTTTTTCCATGCCATTTTTTTTTAAAGTAACTATTTAAATAAAGAGCCAATGTCCAAAAGGAGTTGTTATTGTGAGATCAGTACCATTCAGTATTTGAAAAAGGATTATAAATGTATTTGAATATATTGGTTTAGAACCATCAACCCATGCTATAGCAAATGTTAGATCTTAAATTTATATAGGTCGTTAAAATGGAATACGGGGTCTGCTGTCATGAAAATATTATTTTGTAAAATTAGAAACGCGTCAGTATATTTTTTCTTGATAAAGTCTGATATCCTGCCAAGAAGGATATCAAATTAATCAATGTAGAAAACTGTCCTGTACAGACATTTAGAAATAACTTTTTTTTCAATCATATATTTTTTCACGGATAGCATTCGGAAAAACTTTCTACTTTTAAAAGCTAACAGTGAAATTGGAGGCAATGTAAAATATACCTATTTAACGAATACAATGCAAGTTTAAAATGTTCCTATAAAAAATCAAAATTTATAATAACTTAAATAAACATTTTGGGGCCAAGGCAGTTTCACTTAATATTCAAGAAGGGACTAGTCAACATCCAAGATTTACGCCTCATCAATTAAAAAAAAAAATTGCTCTATAAAAAATAATGATTTTCACCATCGCAAAGATTGAGCAGTTTATCACTTAAAATAAAATAGGATCACAAAGGGATACTATACCCAGGTGAGAACACAATGCCTGTCAGAAAAGCATTCTCTCTTTGGATCTGATTCCCAGCTGCGATCCTGGTATCGGTGGGATCAATTCATCTTTTGGATCCCGTTACCAATAGGAATCCCAATCGCTTCTGGGATTCTAATTTAAATTTTATAGCAATTCCTCGATGTGATCCAAATCATTTGTGAGGTCCTAATCCCTGTGTGATAAACATCCTTTTGCCGATGTACCCAGCTCCCAATACGATCCTGTTCTCACTGGGATCTGCTTTCCCGATTAATCCCATTCCGCTATCACGTAACATTATTACACTAAAAGTTATCCTCATTAATACAAGTAGAAGCGTATATTTATACTAAACTTTAAACTTAATTTTTGTTTATAGCTTCTTTGATTAGAAAGAAAAAAATGAATTTGGAATATTCTAGAAACTTTCAAAAAAAAAATTGTAATCTTATTTCATAGGTTCTGGATAAATAAAATCAAAGTTTTACGCATGTAAGAAATATAATAAAGAAATTCATATAACCGTATAACATTTATAGAACACATTCTTCTGTAAATTTACCCCAATGGGCGTCATTTCATGTTTTGTATTAGGGGAGGGGATGAAAAAAACAACTTGATCGGCGTGTTCTGTTGTTTATTACTGGACCCGCCGCAATATATCTCAATTTAAATAAAACCTAAAAAAATCAGGGCGCGGGGAGGGAGGGAATGCCCCACTCTGCCCTACGCAAATGATTCTGCGGTTACCCCCCTTCCCGGGTAACTCAGGATTTAGTATAATTAAAGAAGGATGTTGTGCCAGTTTGATCAATATTTTTATAAGCAAGTAAAGACGTATGCGATGTACATTATTAATTCTCTCTCTCTATCTCAATACATATATAAATATAATATGTATATCTATGTGTGGTGTGCATATCGTTAATTAGTCTTTATTTTCAATGTCTTAATTATCAAAACTTTGAAATAAACTGCTCTAAAATTTTAAGGAATGCGCCAGTTGTCTAATTATAAAAATTTGAAAGGCAAATTATTTGGCAAATTTCATCATATTTTAAAGAGATACATTAAATGTATCTTGAATATTTATCCGAAATATTTCTTTAGAGCATCAATCTTAGGTATAACTGAAGTGGCTTTTATTGAATAGTGATCTAACGGGAATCTTTTTTTCTTTTGATAATAAGCAGTCATAGCTATGGTAAACCACTAATGATCTTTATGAGGAATGGGAAGTTGCAGAGACGTCTGTTCATTTTGTCTTGTCTTTTTTCAAGCCTTAAAAAAATGTTATTTACTTATTTATTTTATAATGAAAAAGTATTTTCTATTTTTATGTTTCGAAATAAGCTATTGGTGTTTATGTATGATTTAACTTACAAATGAAAGTCTTTAAGCCTAATTTTAATGATCTGTCAATTTTAAAGACAAATTAAAAGACCTTGCTTTAAATAGAAAATTAAATATTTATGTTAGAACAAAAAAAAATAGACACTGTAAAAACAGTTCTGGTTAAAGTGGTTGGAAGTGCATATGAAAAGGCATTTAAAAAAACATAAATATTAAAAGGACAATAAAGCAAATAATTAAAAATAATTGAAACACTGAAACTTTGATATACTTTATAATTTAGATTTTCTCTCTATTCATATAAATAACAAAATATAAAAAAAGGGAAACTGGCTTAATACGAAATACATCTAAGTAATTTTTTAACACTGAATCTACTCAACCAAATGAACAACTGTTAACTAATAATTAAACGTATAAAATCATTTTTAAATTAAAAAAATATTAATTACTACATTGATCAACTATTGATATTTTGAATAGCTATTATTTGTTAAATAATACTGTAATGAAAAAAGTAACAGATAAAAGACAAGAAAAAACATATATACACATTTGTTTGACTTTTAATTTTAGGATTCCTGAAGAAGAAAAACTTTTACAGCAGACAGGTAGGACTATGAATTTACATTTTTTTTTGTAATATAAATTTAATAAATGTATTAATACGTGACTTAGAGATAAAAAAAAAAAAAAAAAAAAAAAAAAAAAAAAAACTATGTCTCAAAAATGTAATCATTTTAATTATTTTTTTAAAAAACAGTTTTGTTAGGTTTAAAAATATTTTTTAAATCACCCTATTCTTAAAAATCAAACACAATTTCAAATAATGCCTCTACCACACGATAGATAAAATTTAATTATTATGGTGCTATGATTTAAATCTTTATATTATGGTCAATTACACATTTTAATTTACTTGATTGTGGCTTTTAGATCACTAGTAATCGATGAAATAAAATATGATTCCCACCCACACAATTTTTTTTTGATATTATAAAGTTGATTTTAGTTTTGATAAATAAATTCATGTATACATATGTTTAAAATAAAAGATACTAAGCCTCATTTTTGAAAATAAAATTTAAAAAGGTATTTTTCGATTGGATGATGTTACCAGTGGTATTGCTAGAGTTGGTGTCACAGGGTGTAATAGTGTAATCCCCTTTCCTCCGACTTCTACGTTGGATTTTTTTCTTGTTAAAATAAGTACAGATTATATCAATGACATAAACAAAACTGAACTAATTAAATATCAGGAGGTAAATGTATTTAATAACTCTAACAATTTTAAATTATAACTATTTAATTTATTTAAATTTTTTCTTTCCTGGACTTTACATTTCAATGAAATTTCAACCTGTCAATGACTTAATCAAAATCATTATCCTTCACCAAATCATTTTAAGTTGATAGTAGAGCAAAATCAGACAGCCTTGACTATCCAAATGTGTATCTAAAATAGTTCTTCATGAGTCTTATTTTTAAAAAGCTCCGCTGACATGAAGCCAAAGACGTACACATCGCAAGAAACATTGAAAGGCTTAGCGAGTATATTTAAGTGATTCTTAGAAGTCCCCTTGAGCTTTCAATTTCAAAACATAAAATATTGACCGCTTTATTATTTTTTTAAACGTTTAAATAATCTGCTTTTATATTTCTTCTATGATGGGAATTTATTTTTAAAGTTCATCTTCTAAACACTCGAAAAGGAAAAAGTTTAATTTTGGAACTTAGACCAATAACTCTTCTTCCCTTGAAAATAGTAGACTCTTCGGATGAACACCACCATAAATATCTGCTACTTCCTCCAGTGCTTACGATCTGATCTGAAAGTGATCAATAAACTCAGGCACTTCCCTACTGTTTTCCTCTCACATAGAGAGTCCATGATCTATTAATTGTTCTGCCATTCTCTTGTTTAAACTTATTCTTACCTCTAGCCAAAGTCCATATAGGTCCTATTGTAAAGGAGCCTTTTCAAAGGAATTTTCTACCAAGTGACGCATATACTGCTATGTAAGATTAACTTCCTATAAAAGATTGAAGTGAAATTACATACGGCACGTAAAAGAGCTTGTGCGTTATGACAATCGTGCTCAAATGCTAAGAGGAAGTGTTAATGACCTATCAGATTATTTTTTAATCTCATGGTTTCGATATATTTTGTTTCTAAACATTTTTTTTAAACTTAAATAAATCTATATTAATTATTGAAACATATTTTTTTTTAAATTGTAAAAAAATATTTTGTGAACCCTAACAATGTATGAAACGGATTTTTTAAAAAAAATTGTTTAAGTTTATGTATTTAGAATCGCAAGAACACATCGTATTTGGAATCAATAGAAATTTTTATTTCTCAGAATTTATATATATACTTGAAAATATACCCGGGATTGCATTGGGACATAAATCCTTTAGCAGTCCCGGTAAGAGTTCTTTCCGCATAAAGATTGATATAAATGCCAAATTTGGTCAAGATAAATCAATCTATATAAAAGCCTCTGTGGAATGTACGTCTATGTATCTATGTATCTATGTATCTATCTATGTATGTATCTATCTATGTATGTATCTATCTATGTATGTATCTATCTATGTATCTATCTATCTATGTATCTATCTATCTATCTATCTATCTATCTATCTATCTATCTATCTATCTATCTATCTATCTATCTATCTATCTATCTATCTATCTATCTATCTATCTATCTATCTATCTATCTATCTATCTATCTATCTATCTATCTATCTATCTATCTATCTATCTATCTATATATCTATCTATCTATCTATCTATCTATCTATGTATGTCTCTAGCTATCTATCTATCTATCTATCTATCTATCTATCTATCTATCTATCTATCTATCTATCTATCTATCTATCTATCTATCTATCTATATTTCTATCTATCTATATATCTATCTATCTTTCTATCTATCTATCTATCTGTCTATCCATCTATCTATCTATGTATATATCAATATGCGCTTTCTTCTTTTTCTATTTATATATTTATCTATTAATTTATATGTCAATCTATTTATCCATCTATCCAAACATACATCCACCCATACATATATAAATTAATACATTCATATATACATCCATCCATATATCAGCTATCACACGATGAATATCTACTTTTTATATCTGTGTATCTAGTGATTTATTTATATATAGTTTCACAACAAATCTATATACAATTTATGAACCTGAAAAGTTAGAATAATGAAATTGCATAATTAAAATATAGCTGAAATAATTTCATTGAAAGACAGTGTCTGTTTCTTTTTAAATTTAAATTGATCAGAAACCAAAACAGGAAAAGGACGCTTACTTGAAGATATACATGAGGGAGAATCGAATCAATTAGACGATACATGTGAGTAAATAAAAAAATACACATTGTTTCATTTATAGAAATACTGCACACAAAAAACAAATAATTTCCGTAAACTTTTGAAAAATTGTATTAAACATTTTCTTAAAAAAAATTAATTCTATAATTCGTAATAAATTAATGATATGGTATCTTATTTTCATTTGCATTGACGGATAAAATTTAATTTTTCATTCTGGAATTTTTCACACATCCTTTCGCACATTATAATTTATAAATTACTACTTTTTTAAAGAATTATTATTTAATTACAAGATTACATTTTCATATAATCATAAGTTACCAATGTATCAAATACTGTTGAATTGTCAATTTGTGTCATATATTAAATAGGTTTTATCGATATCGCACAAGCCACAGATTCGCTCGATGAATCAAGTGGTAAGTTAAAACATACATTTTTTATTTAATTATTTTTAAGATTACTTTTTAAATCAAAATTTGCTCAAATCAAACTAACAGAATTATTTTCAGGGAAAAAGCTGCAATGCTACAGTTAATGTCCCTGTTATCTAACCTCCAGAAGTATGAGCCGATGGGGCACTGATGTGTTTGAATCTGTGTCACTAGACTCAGCTTCTTTGCTAACTTCCCCACCTTGGTTCTTTCTTGTAAGGTTTTGCAAGTTAGCATCGACGCCTTTTGCGTTCGGTATTGTCTGCCCATTGCCTGTACTAATTCGTTCTGAAGTTGTGTGCCAGCCATTTTCTTATTTCCTAGTAATTACAGGTGCAATGTGCTGAGGCTGGGCAGCCCTGGTCTTTATCAGAGTTTTGGCTTTTTCTTTTCCACTGACGTTGATATACCCTGGGATCCGTTGAACTGTCACCGTTCTTTCTAACCCGCCGATCTTGCATATGTTATATATTATGGCGCTAACTAAATGCGTGGTACATGCTGTCTTTCTTAAAATATCGAGAGAATGTTTGTTTCTGAGTAGACAATCACATCAAGCCCAGCAATCTCTCATCCTTACACTGTTTGATATACACTTCCCAGTGCCTTGTTGATAGTCTTAAGCTACGTATCGAAGTTTCATGCTAAATATCAAAAGGTTCCGGTAAATTCTTTATTTGGTGGACCTACCCCCTTTGGTATAGCAGTTATTATCTCTTGTTTGCAGAGCGCTCACTGCTGTATCAGCCAAGAAAATATGTATTAAGAGACGTGAATTCTCCGCATAAGGCAGATTGGCTGGGATTGGGGTAGTTTTTGAGATGCATTGGCTGTCTGCACAAGTTTAACCACTTGATGCACAAATGATTATCTTTTTTAGTCACCTATGGCCTACCCAGCTATTTCGCATTTGAAAAAAGCGGTCCTTTTCATTTTGCGTCTGTACCTCTCGACATTACTTACGATTGGCTTTTCCTTTCAGATTTCTAATCTCTTAACATTGGTCAAGACTTCTACAGTAGCTTTTGGCTTGGTTCTGAATGCACCACACTTTAAAATCAATGCGTTATTCTGGATTCGGTCCAACTTTTCCAAAGCGAGTTTACTTACAAAAGACTTGACTGGCATGCTGTAGTCTATTACCGTCTATACACTGGTTAGAAAAAGAGTTTTGACTGGATTGAGTCTTTCGTGCACTCTCCAGATACCATTAAAACCTCTCTCTACCATTTTCTGCTACTTCCATTGAAAGAATATTAGGGATATTGGACGTTAGCCGGTAGGTAAATCGGTTTCTTCCTTTATATGTGAATATGGACGATGGTAGTGCTTAGGCAAGATTTGAGTATCATTGCGGGTATTTTTTTTGCAAGCGCCAAACATTTCATAGATATGTTTCATTAATTATTGCTTTAAGATAACGCATAAGAAATAACATATAATTTATCATTATGTATAAAATTCGATTTGCGATATCTTTCTATTAGCAGTAAATGCAATTGATGGACATATCTATGTTTTGGTTGGTTTTATTTTTCGCCGTTAATCTTGGACATAAAATATATTTACAAGATGAGTAAAGATATTTAAATTATATATGTAAGACAATAGGAACGACAGCTACATCAATCTAAAGATGACTTAGTATCATCTTCACAAGTCAATGCACGTGAGTAAATGATTAAGTTTGCGAAACAAAGTGAAAAAAAATAAAAATAATAATAAATTTTAAAAAATAAATTAAATAAATAAGTGATCCATACCTTTCATAAGAGGCCCATCCAAACGATTTTTAAATGCGCAAGTTACATTATACTTTTTTTTGGTTGAAACATTACTCAGTTTTTCGAACCTACTTTAAACTTTTTTTTATTAATTACTGCCCAAATGAATATAAAATTGGGAAGAACAAATTATTTAAACCTGTGGTCGGCTAAAATTATATATTTGTCAAAAGAGACAAAAAAACTAAGCCCCAGTAGGATTAAATCTTATTTGAGAGCCACGTCTCCTTGTCAAGAACTTGTCAAGTTCCATTTCTTGTTTGACAGAGACAAAACCGTTCAGCCGAGCAGCTCTCATGTCGCTAAAGGGGGCATGCAGCTAGCTCACCGCGATTTACTGACTAATGATTTAAACAAACGTTAAGATGTCAATTTAAACATTTTTTTGAATGTAATAAAAACGAAAGCCCAATTTAGAATTTTGCTATTGCTTGCAGAAGATCATGGAATTGTTATTGATACTTGCTCTTCCATGTTTAAAACAGAATTATTGACTTCGTTAGCCACAACTAAGAATTAACTAGGGAAGATACAAAGAAGTCTAAGTGCATGTTAGGCATACGTAGCGCAAGTTTATTAAACAAAATTTTATTTACACACTATTTTAGTAGTGAGGGAATTATGAGGAAACTACATAAAATATATCAATAATTACGCACGTTATCCGTTTAAATTTTAACTGCTTAGGAAATAACTTTAAAAAGAGTTATGAAGATGACAATACGAGTCACAATCTATATATATATATAATAAGCACCAAAAAAAAAATCAAAATCCCTGATTTCATAAAATATAAATCATAAGAATGTAATAAACACTTCCTAGGCTCGGAGGACATTAATTGTGTTGTTATGGTTGGTTACTTTAAAAAAAAAACAGTTTGCTTAAGAATAACATAATACACCATTAAGTATGTCTTTCATAGTTTATATAGGATGGGTCAGTCTACTGTTACGCAGACTGTTTACGCCATCTTTCCTTGTGAATGAATTCTAGCTGACAACAAACTCGGAACAGCATATGTATGGCTTGCTACAAATAGTCTCTCTTGAACTTGTTTACAACTAAAAAGAAATCTATAGTCCATATCCATAGGAATCTGTAGAAACATGCGGAGAAAACTGGAAAGGAAAACAATGTGTAAGGCTGTTCTAGAAAGATGATTTAACAATGTGTAAGGCTGTTCTAGAAAGATGATTTAAACAGATTTTAAAAGGAGACGCACGAGAGATTTTTGGCCCATCATTTATCAAGAGGGCTACTGCGTGCGTGTGCTATCCTTGCTACGAAACGAGATATTTAGTTACGATGTGTGTAGATTTCTTTTTATCGGTGTACCCTTTTTGCACATTGTGTTTTTCTTTAACGTTGTACCGGCACAAGCTTACGTAGCTCTGAAAGTCAATAGTTTTAAATTCATTTCTTTTTGATTTTGTAACTCATTATAATTTACATTATGAAATGAATTAAATATAATTCGCCCTTGTTTGCGTATCGTATTATTTGTTATTGTATTCATCATTTGGTATCGTGTTTTGCTGCGTACTGTTTTAGAAAGAGTTATACACTTACATGATTGATTATTTTCTCCATATTGATAACAGTACGTAATACTACTATCACTTGCTAAGCCGGGGGAATGAGCGTAAAATAGAACATAATTAATATTAGGTTGGAAAACATTTAAATAGTGAAAATTCAATGTTGATGTAGATCATACATTTATCTTCCATAAGCAGTAAAAATAGTTTAGCAAAGATATAAATAACTTTGACTCTTGTAAGCCATGTTTGTTAAATTTGTAAAAAAAAAGAATGGATTTCTCATCTGAAACTGATCTACCGAGCTTTTAAATTGCATAAATGACAATTTGAATAATTCCAGTCTTTAAAATTATGAATTGAATAATGAATGGGCTGGAAAAAAAAACAAGGGCGTATATGATATAAGGGGCTTATTTCGAGAAATAGGTAAAAGTTAAGAAGGTTTTGGCAATATTCCTCTATCAACTAGTTAACAATAATGTATTATATATAGAATATTTCTATGGTTCTAATATCAATATAAAAGTGTCTGAACAAATAGATTCCTAATTAGTAGTTTCCTAGTAAAAATAACAAGAATATTGCACAGCTTTAATAGTTTAGGTCCTATTCATTTATTTTGAATGTTAGGCTAAATGTTAGCTTCCTATGTTCTGACTGTTTCAGATCCTAGTCATGTTTCTAAAAATATTTAGACTGAATTTTGTGCAGACTCATGAAAAGTTTCTAAAAATACTTGGCATATCGGAGTCTGATCGAGCGTAAATTGGGAACTGACTTGCATAGGAAAGACCCTGATGATGTTTCCTATTATTTATTGTTATTAAATTCGGTGATCTTATATAGCTCTGTACCCAGCCTAGGAATAGTCTCCCCATTTTTGACGTAAAATTGACTAAAAAAAGAAAATATTCACAATTGATGCATTCATTTAAAATGTGCAGAGTAAACATTTTTAAATCTCCCACGAAATAATTATTTACCTATGTCTTTCAAGCGACAGGCAACAGCAGCATCGAACATTGTTTATCGTTATGACGCCGGTTAGAATGAGTCATAATAATAATATTAGAGATTGAAGAGGTGTGTCTTGAGTGCACTTTTAAAGGCATGTATGTTAGGTATAAAGAGGATTTGTAATTGGAGAAAATTCGTTTTTTTTCAGGAACAGAAAGTGAAAAATCGTCCACCATATGTTTTAGTCTGTGTTATTTAAAAGACACTATACGCATGTCTGCGATGGAACGAGGCTGTTAAAGGGTTAAGAGACAGAAGGAATATCAATAAGATAGAAAGGGGAGGAACCAGATGAAAAGTTGTATAGAGAAAAGGCAGGTTGCATTCACTGCGTACCTGTGAAGAGAGACAATAAATTGAGTGAAGATGTAGAGTGATTTGATCAGTTGATTTTTGCCTTTAGAAGAAACCTAGCAGAGGAATTTTAAACGTGTCTGATTAACCATGGATTATTTATGTAGGATCTTCAATTTTAATAGCTTTCTATCAGTTAGGTTTATTTTCCATTCCCATCTTTCTCCTTAGTAAAGCCATCCGTTATGATGTCAGAGGATGTAATGCTTAAATGTTTAAGTGTCAGGAACAATACTTTTTTGTCATTGGCCACATAAAAATGTTCCAGAGCTCTAAAAAAGACAATATTTTTTTAACATACTTTATTAAATTACAGATTCAAAATTAAATTTTATGGCAGGAGAACCTTCTTAAAATTCGTTTTATATTATGATTGTCCATGATTCGTATAAGTATGTATGAACATAATATCCTGAAAGTACTATGTTATTGTCATTCGCTGCTTTTAAAGTAAGAAAAAAATAATTGCAGCTTTCATTCAGAGCTGTCTCATATTCATTTGTTTCAATTGGGAAGATGTCATCATTCGGAATTTGGCTATCGATGAAGACAATTTGAATCTTGGGTCTTTTTTAATGTGGAGTGTTCTTCCAGCATGACGATTTAATGTGCTTCTACAGTGCTCAGCAGATCACATGATTTTTTTTTCTGATCCGTGTTCGACTATTCTTATCTGCACTAAGAAGTTGGGATGATCATCAATAATTACGGACGAATCATTCTTTTATAGTTTTATATGTGTTCCTGTTTTCCTTGCATATTTTCCAGTTAATGCATAATGGCTGTGTTGCGTATGGTTGAAATGGCTAGAAAGACTTTGCCATTGTATGCTTGTAATTAGTTTTTGTAGTGTTGCGTTTGTTTTTAATGTGGTAAATTATAGATTTGTTTTTTGTTGACTTTGTACCGCGTTTCGATTCTTTGGGGATGAAGCGTGTTTCTGAAATGAACTTTATTATTATTATTATTATTATTTTAAAAATCTCTCCCTTTCTTCTTTGCTATGGAGTGAGTCAGTTATGTTTCATAATCAATGTCTTACGAGAGGCGATGAATATTTTGCTGCAGCATGCTAATTACATTTTGCTTCGATTCTTTCTTGAATAGTTACCTTGAATTATTAAAATATGGGTTACAGATTTGGTATTTTCATCAAAATAGTTTACGTGTGTTATTTTGCCAGTATTTATCAGGAATTTCACAATTATTGTGTTTGTGGCCTATTGCACAAATTGATGCTCAGTGGAATAGATGTTGTTATGTCATAAAAACGTTCGTTTCTAAAACTATATTAAGTTAAGTATTTTGTAAGTGTTCTTGGCCACAGGATGATTTTATGTTGTATTTAAATGTTCAAATTAAAAATGATAACAAGATTGTCAATTTAACTATGTACATCACACAATGCAATTTTCCAACATACGTCCAAAATGTATAAAGTAAGTGAGATGACATTGTCTGGATCTAGGTTGATTAGACAAATCATCATTATGCCCGTTAGTCCTTTGACCGTTGGGGCGCCACAGATGACTTGGTAACTATCCTCTGTCATTCCTGTCTGTTTTCTGCACTGCTAGTTTTAGTCCTGTTCACTGTTTGATGTTTTCCTAACATCTATTTTTGGTCTTCCTCTTCTTTTCCCTCCTCTCATTGTGCCCCGTATTATTATTTTTTTCTTCGCTCACACAGCACTCCTAAAATAATTCACTTAGTCTTTTTGTATGAAATAGTTAATTTAAGTATACTTTTTATTTTAGATACAGCAAGTAACAAACAATCAGTTTCATCTCTGTCAGACAATGCATGTGAGTACCATGAAGTTGCTTACAAGTATATATTAAATAACAATTCCTAATGAAATAACAGCATTCTTTAAAAAGTTATTTATATAATACGATTTAAAAAAAAAATTATATATAATTAAAATTTCCTCGACATTAATTAACGCTTTTTAAAGATTACATAAAGCATTTTTTTTTAAAATTATGATATATTAACATGTTAGATGAAAAATGATGTCATTTTTACATTTTGTATTTAAATGAGAATACATAATATTTGAAAAAATTAATATTCAACGTGATTAAGTTTATTAAAGTATTTATTTTTATGATGCAATGTTAGTAACTGGAATTGGATGATGTGTTTAAAAAAAAATAGGTTTTTACAAAGTTTGGAGTGTCGTGAGCTAGATATTTAATAAAAATACATCTAGTATAATGCATCTTTAATCATATATTTGTATCTATCCGTGTTCTCTTTTTCTGGCTCTCTCATTTTGCATTTTATAAATAGATAAATAAATATATATATATATATATATATATATATATATATATATATATATATATATATGTGTGTGTGTATATGTGTATTTATATATATATGTGTGTGTGTGTGAGAGATCGTGAGAGCTATCTTTAATCATATATTTGTATCTATCCGTGTTCTCTTTTTCTGTCTCTCTCATTTTGTATTTTATAAATATATAAATAAATATATATATATATATATATATATATATATATATATATATATATATATATATATGTGTGTGTGTACATGTGTATTTATTTATTCAAGTGTGTGTGTGTGACTAACCAAAAAATATTTGTTGACAGGTTTCATACATAGTCAAGCAATTGTAAATAATTTATTGGACGATAATGCAATACGATTGGACGAACACTTTGTTGGTAATTTGAAAATACTAACAATTATTTTTATTTATTAAATAATAAAATAAATTTAAATTAAATCATACACTTCATTTGAATATTTTTATTTCCATTTCTTCAAATTCAAATGAAACTCTAAGACACGTTTCGTATCAATGTATTACATATTTTTTAAATTCATTTTTTTTACTGTCAAACAAAAACAAAACTTAAAAATAACAATTATATCAACTCTAATCTTAAAGAATAACTATTTAAACACAATTAAAGAAAATAAATTAATTTAAAAAATCTGTTTTTAACATTGAAATAAATCCTAAGACAAATACAAATTGTCCATTTTATTATATAACTAGAAAATATAGTCGGTTTTGCTCAGGTTTTATTTAGGGGAAAAAACTCATATTTAATTTTTTTCAGCGTCAAAATATATGTATATCATGCTTTAAACACCTCGTTAAAATAGCATTTAAATTTACTTGTATAAAATGCAGTGTAATAAGAATTATTGTAAGCTTTACATTTGTCACATATTTATATTTTTTTAAAATATTAATATAATTTAAATAAATCATATTTTGTACGAAATATAAGATCATTCGAATGCCGGTATCACCTTTTTTTAATCAGATGATACATGTGTGTAAACAAAGCAACTTATTGTTATATTTATAGAATGATTAATAACAGAAAAAAAAAAAAATTCCCTAAACATTTCAAGAAGGTTTATGTTTTTTTTATAAACTTAGCAATATAGTTGTATAATTTAAAAAAAAAAAAAATTAAACCATATTTAAAACCTTCAGTATTTAATTGTAAAATGGGTAACTGTTTTTGGCAGGCACACAATATATCATAGTCTGTTTGATTAATTACTCCTTTAAGATCATGGATAAAGGAAAAATATAACTTATGAATCATTATTTATAAAATTAAATTTGCGATTTTTCTCCAATAGCAGTGAAATTCAATTTATGGACATACCTACGTTTTCGGTGGGGGGGGGGGAGAGGGTGGTTGCCATTATTCTAGGATATATTTACACGATCAGTAAAGATATGCAAGTTATATACGTAAGAAAAGAATTGGATATAATGCATACACGCTACTCTTAACGCNGAAATTCAATTTTTGGACATACCTACGTTTTCGGTGGGGGGGGGGGGGAGAGGGTGGTTGCCATTATTCTAGGATATATTTACACGATCAGTAAAGATATGCAAGTTATATACGTAAGAAAAGAATTGGATATAATGCATACACGCTACTCTTAACGCTTTTAATTTTGAATTTTATACTCTAAACTATCAATGTACGAATCAGACGAAAGCCAACTAGATCAATCTACTGATGACTTAGCTTTATCTTCCCAAGTTGACACACGTAAGTAAATTATTAGGTTTCCAAATAACTTTTTAAAAAAATACATGGCAAATTAATAAATAAATATAATTAAATATGTGTTCCACATATTCCACAATAGACCCATTAAATCGCTATTAAAATGGGCGAGTTAATTATTTTTTTCTTTGAAATTTTTTTTTGTTTTGCGAAAGATTTTTAAAAGGCATTTAATTCAATTAATTCAATAAAGGAATAAGTTAATGAAAAAAGTTTATTAAACCAATCGATAAGTTCTAATTTTAAAGATTTTGTAATGGGATGCAAAGGAAAATTGAATTTTAGGTGTTTATAAACTGTTAGCAGAAAACTATGAATTTATTATTTTTACTCACCCTTACACGTTTTAAACAAAATTATGGAATTCATTTGCTCCAAATAAGAATGCATTGTATAACTTTAAATCAAGTAATTTACTAGGGAATAGAAATGAGAATAAACGAATATTTCCTAGTTCTGAATATAAAATACGCTTGTTTATAAAACAAGAATTAATTTAGCATTTATTTGTGTAGCAAATTAATGATCAGAAATTGCATTAAAATATTCCGATAATATGAAAATTAGTCGGTTTTAATTTAATCTGTAAATAAAATAAATTTTTTCGCGACTTTTAATTGCACAATAATTATATAATTAACGATTCAAAGTCAAAAATACACATATCACAATCCATTATTTCATAATATTTGACTCATGGGAATATACTAAATTCTTCTTTGTTCGGGAACAAAAACAAAACTTAAAAATAACAATTATATCCACTCTAATCTTAAAGAATATATATTTGAACACAATTAAAGAAAAGAAATTAATTTTAAAAATCTGTTTTTAACATTGAAAAAAATCCTAAGACAAATAGAAATTTTCCATTTTATTATATAACTAGAAAAATATAGTCGGTTTTGCTCAGGTTTTATTTAAGGAAAAAAACTAATATTTAATTTTTTTCAGCGTGAACATATATGTATATCACTGCTTAAAACACTTCTTTAAAAAAGCATTTAAATTTACTTGTATAAAATGCAGTTTAATAAAAATTATTGTAACCGTTACATTTGTCACATATTTATTTTTTTAAAATATTAATATAATTTAAATAATAGACAAATCATATTTTGTACGAAATATAAGATCATTTGAATGCCGGTATCACCTTATTTTAATCAGATAATACATATGTGTAAAAAAAACAACTTATTGTTATATTAATAGAATCATAAATAACAGAATAAATAAAATGCCCTAAACATTTGAAGAAGGTATTATGTTGTTATTTTATAAACTTAGCAATATGGTTGTATAATTTAAAAAAAAAAAAATTATTAAACCATATTATTTAAAACCTTCAGTATTTAATTGTAAAACGGGTAACTGTTTTTGGCAGGCACACAATATATCATAGTCCGTTTGATTAATTACTCCTTTAAGATCATGGATAAAGGAATAGTATAATTTATGAATCATTATTTATAAAATTAAATNTTTTTGGTTGGGGGGGGGGGTGGTTGCCATTATTCTAGGATATATTTACACGATCAGTAAAGATATGCAAGTTATATACGTCAGAAAAGAATTGGAAATAATGCATACACGCTACTCTTAACGCTTTTAATTTTGAATTTTATATTCTAAACTATCAATGATCGAATCAGAGGAAAGCCAGCTAGATCAATCTACTGATGACTTAGCTTCATCTTCCCAAGTTGACACACGTAAGTAAATTATAAAGTTTCCAAATAGTTTGAAAAAAAAATACATGGCAAATTAATAAATAAATATAATTAAATATGTGTTCCACATATTCCACAATAGACCAATTAAATCGATATTAAAATGTGCAAGTTAAGTTATTTTATTCTTTGAAAATGTACTTTGTTTTGCGAAAGATTTTTAAAAGGCATTTAATTAATTAATTCGTAAAAGGAATAAGTCAATGAAGGAAAGTTTATTTAACCAATCGATAAGTTCTAATTTTAACGATTTTGTAATGGGATGCAAAGGAAAATTGAATTTTAGGTGTTTATAAACTGTTAGCAGAAAACCATGAATTTATTATTTTTACTCACCCTTACACGTTTTAAACAAAATTATGGAATTCATTTGCTCCAAATAAGAATGTATTGTATAACTTTAAATCAAGTAATTTACTAGGGAATAGAAATGAATATACTAAATTCTTCTTTGTTCGGGAACAAAAACAAAACTTAAAAATAACAATTATATCCACTCTAATCTTAAAGAATATATATTTGAACACCATTAAAGAAAAGAAATTAATTTTAAAAATCTGTTTTTAACATTGAAAAAAATCTTAAGACAAATAGAAATTTTCCATTTTATTATATAACTAGAAAAATATAGTCTGTTTTGCTCAGTTTTTATTTAGGGAAAAAAACTAATATTTAATTTTTTTTCAGCGTGAACATATATGTATATCACTGCTTAAAACACTTCTTTAAAAAAGCATTTAAATTTACTTGTATAAAATGGAGTTTAATAAGAATTATTGTAACCGTTACATTTGTCACATATTTATTTTTTAAAAATATTAATATAATTTAAATAATAGACAAATCATATTTTGTACGAAATATAAGATCATTTGAATGCCGGTATCACCTTATTTTAATCAGATAATACATATGTGTAAAAAAAACAACTTATTGTTATATTTATAGAATCATAAATAACAGAATAAATAAAATGCCCTAAACATTTGAAGAAGGTATAATGTTGTTGTTTTTTTTATAAACTTAGCAATATAGTTGTATAATTTAAAAAAAATAAAATAATGAAACCATATTATTTAAAACCTTCAGTATTTAATTGTAAAACGGGTAACTGTTTTTGGCAGGCACACAATATATCATAGTCCGTTTGATTAATTACTCCTTTAAGATCATGGATAAAGGAATAGTATAATTTATGAATCATTATTTATAAAATTAAATTTGCGATTTTTGTCCCAATATCAGTAAATTCAATTTATGGACATACCTACGTTTTCGGTTGGGGGGGGGGAGAGTGTGGTTGCCATTATTCTAGGATATATTTACACGATCAGTTAAGATATGCAAGTTATATACGTAAGAAAAGAATCGGAAATAATGCATACACGCTACTCTTAACGCTTTTAATTTTGAATTTTATATTCTAAATTATCAATGATCGAATCAGAGGAAAGCCAACTAGATCAATCTACTGATGACTTAGCCTTATCTTCCCAAGTTGACACACGTAAGTAAATTATTAAGTTTCCAAATAACTTTAAAAGAAATACATGGCAAATTAATAAATTAATATAATTAAATGTGTGTTCCACATATTCCACAATAGACCAATTAAATCGATATTAAAATGTGCGAGTTAAGTTATTTTTTTTTCTTTGAAAATGTACTTTGTTTTGCGAAAGATTTTTAAAAGCCATTTAATTCAATTAATTCAATAAAGGAATAAGTCAATGAAGAAAGGTTTATTAAACCAATCGATAAGTTCTAATTTTAATGATTTTGTAATGGGATGCAAAGGAAAATTGAATTTTAGGTGCTTATAAACTATTAGCAGAAAACCATGAATTTATTATTTTTACTCACCCTGGCATGATTTAAACAAAATTATTGAATTCATTAGCTCCAAATAAGAATGCATTGTATAACTTTAAATCAAATAATTTACCAGGGAATAGAAATGAGAATAATACGAATATTTCCAAGTTCGGAATATAAAATACGCTTGTTTATAAAAAAATAATTAATTTAGCATTTATTTGTGTAGCAAATTAATGATCAGAAAATGCATTAAAATATTCCGGTAATATGAAAATTTTTCAGTTTTAATTTAATCTGCAAATAAAATAAATTTTTTCGCGACTTTTAATGGCACAATAATTATATAATTTACGATTCAATGTCAAAAATACACATATCACAATCTATTTTTTCATAATATCCGACTCATGAGAATATGCTAAATTCTTTTTTGTTCGGTAACATTAATTTTTTATTTATGTATGTTTACATAAAAATACAGTTGGCTTTAGAAGATCATAACTTAACACACCATGAAGTAAGTTCGAACATAGATTATATAAGGATGGATCAGTCTACTTTCATTTGCTGAGAACAGGGGCATTGGTGTAAAGAGATCATCATTAAAATAATGTTGGAAACTTTTGGATACTGAAAATTTCTATTTGTCATGAGAATCATAGTGTTATCTTCCTCAATTAGGCAAAACTATTTTAGGAAGGAAATAAATAACTTTGACTCTTGTGTTTGATGGTTCGTTACTGTTATGTAGGACGTGTTTACGTCACGTTTTTACCATGCATCCAAACGCCACGTGCGTATTTGGCGAGGCCTATTTTCTTTGAACTTAAACTTGTGTACTTCCCTTACCAACTAAAAATAAATTAAATGTTCTAATCGAATTCTGGGGAAAGTTCGCGAGGAGATTAACTAACACACATAATCTGGTGTGGGTCTGAGATTACTCTCTTAAGACCCCCAGCTAGCAAATTGGCTATCAACTCAATCGGTTGAGCTGAGCCATACAACATTTTCATCACAAAGGTTCTTTCAACCGCCCTGGCTTACCCCGGAAGATCTAGTGAGGGACATTCGGTCAAAAGGTGCTCTAGAGTCTCCTTGACCAGGCTGCAATGCCTGCAGGTAGGATCAAGGTTGTTATCCAGCCGACAGAAAAATATTCGCAAGTGGCAGTGCTCGGTGCGCATCTGTGTCACTAAACTCTGCTGTCTGTGGCCTAACTCCCACCATGGGTCTTGTTTGCTAGGAGTGGACAAGTTTGAATAGACTCCTCTTGCGGTCTTGTTTATCTGCCCAATTCATGTACCACTTATACCTGAAATTGTCCGCCATTCAGTTTTTAATTCCCAACTAAGTCATTGGTACTTCTGGTTAAGGCTAGGCAGCCTTGTTTTCATCAGAGTGTCTCCTCTCTCATTGCCACTGATGTTTTACGTGGCTAGGTATCCACTGTATTGTTACCTTTCCCCCTAGTTCACCAATTTTTCAAACTTCATTGGCGATAATGTCGACCAAGTGTGTGGTACCCTGTCTCTTTCCCAAGATTTCGAGAGCAGATCTTAAGTCTCAGTAGACAACTACATCGAGCCCCGCTTGCTCCGTCTCTTTCAATGTGTCATGAATTCTCTCCAAGTCAATATGTATAGCTATGAGTTCCGCATCGAAATTTGATGCTTAAGTCCCACAAGCCCCCGAGAGCTCTTCATTTTGTGGTCCCCCCGCTGGATACAGTATGAGAGCACCGTATCTAGCAGCCCTTTCTCTCACGTCCGTGAACACTTTCACGGGTATGTATGCGAACACGCCTGTATTGGGCTGAGACTTTCGGTACTTTCCAGGTACCAGTAGAGTCTCTTGCTAACCAATATCTAGGCTACTTTCCCTAAAAACTATGTTAGGGATATTGGACGATAGCAGGTCGGTTGATCAAGTTTCTTTTCTTTTTTGGGAATAGAGACGATAATGACGCTAAGCCAAGCTCTGCGTAGATTCATGTTACCCACGATCTGTTAATGATTTACAATAGCTCTGTCCTAGCGATCATGCCAAGGTTCTTAATCGTTTCGTTACAGATCTTGCCCGGACCTAGTGCCTTGGCGGCGTCGCACTTGTCGATGGCGATTTGCAATTTAGCCATAGTGAAAAGTGCGATAAAGACCTCTGCATGCGGTCCACACTGCTGGGCCACTTCTTCATTTCACCGGAGACGGTTAATGTTTTGGCTCTCTCTGGTCTCTTTCTGCTTGTAATTGATCTTTGCCAAATGCTTGTTACAGCCTCGGCACTTTTGGCATCTGTGGTAGCCATGCCTGTCGTCGTTTGCAACGTACGCAGATTTCGGACCTTTCCCGTGCAGGATAACGAGTCCTTCAATCGCCAGACCTTTTTGCCGTCTTTCAAGTTGAGTTTTCCGCATGTCCCAAATCATTTTTCTTTTTTCGCCCTAGCAACCTCCTTTCGAACTTTCACCGTCAGTTTGCTCTACGCCTTACGAGCAGCGGCCTTCTTCAATTTTTCAGCTTTGGTCCGAGCTCTTTTCAATTCACGGACCATCTCAGCCAAACTCGTGTGCCAAAAGGGGCGGAACTTGCGGTTCCCGTTAGTTCTTGGGATTGTTTTCCTTGCCACTTTGAGGATACCACTCACAAAGTCGAAGTATTCAGCAACGGTTCCTTTGGAGGTATTGGGAATCCCTGTTGATTCCGCAATCATACACTATGTTTTCTCCCGGAACAGAGTCCACTTGGCTTTGCTGAACAGCCAGTGTCTCTTAGCAAACATTGGCTTTGCAAGCGCAAGACAAATTGTAATGAGGGTAGTTCTGTGGTCACTGCCAACCTGATCCAGGACTGCGCATTGCGTGTTTGCCTCGAGCTCGGCTGAGACCAGTGTTATATCGGGGCGTTACATGGCACTGTTGCTAGTGTGAAGCAGTATCGGTTCACTGTCGCCATTTTGCAGCCTGATGAGATTGGTCGTGAGTTCAACCTCCAATTAGCACTCTGAGGCGTTAGTATCAGAATTTCCCACAGTTATCCATATGGGCATTGACGTCCCCTGCGATAATCCTATTACTGAAAAGGGATGTGCCCTGCAAGGAGAGGCTCCATATGTTTCTAGTGGTGTTGTAAAAGTTACTAATGGTAAAGAACGTAACCCCTACGACTACTCTCAGTGTCCCACCAATGTTTCTGCTCTCTACCAGTTCCGCTGTGAGTTTGTTTTTCACGAGAGTTACCAAGCCTTGGCACATTAACACAGGTACAGCGGTAAACTGAATAGCACGAGATGTGCAATGGGTGCTTTTTCAGTAGGGATTCCTGAAGTAGAGCTACGTCCACTTCCCGGCTGTGGAATAGTTTGGTGAGCTCCGTTATTTTTCCTCTGACCCCGTTGCAGTTAACCTGCATAAATACTAAAGTTTCGGGGAGGTGGCCAACGGCACCTTGCGCCCATTAGCGCCAGAGCCTGCAGTCGGCCTGAGACGCGTCACCGATCTGCAGGGGAGGAGTGGATTCAAGTTCCCCTCGCATAGAGTCATGTGTATTTTACTTGCCATTTAAAAATAATATTGTTTAGGCTTTATTTTCTTACCTCCTTCCGGGTGAAAGTTACAAGTAACCTCCCCCTTTTCACCTTGGGAGACAGACCTAGAGACGTGAGTTTTTTAGCTTCAGCATAGTCAAGTCTACCCTACTAGTTCGGTCGCGCCAAGTAGAGGCAAAACTCTTGCGGGGATCGCCGAGGCGTACCTTTTACCGTTGCAAGGGGACTAGAAAAGTAAACAAGTTCTAAGTTGTTTCTGGAACGCGTCTTACGCTGCATATCAATAAGGGGATCAGAGAACGTTAAGAGGCGGATAGACATTTTATTTGATCTCACGAGACCAGTGCATTATTCTGCGTGTACTCGTATGTATTTATTCGCATTCATCATTGTACTTTATTAATTCGCACATTGTACTAACTGTGTACCAGTACAAGACATCCCTTACTCTGTAAATTGATTATTGAAATTATATTTCCTTCGTTTAGTAAATATATTAATACTTTAAAAAATCTTATTAATTGTATTTAGTACTGTTTTGAGTGTCGTATTTTTGCTATTGTATTTCTCTATGGTATCGTCATTTTGTTAGGCACTGTTTAGAACCAGCCATAAACTTAAAATAAGAGATTAATTTCTCATTATAGAACTATACAACAGTTTCATTTGTATAAAATGGGATAGATGTCCCCTTTTAAATGAAAAGAGAGTTAATTTACCAAGCTTTCAATTTGCATAAATGACAATTTGAATAGTTCCGGTCAACAAAATATAAATAGAATAATTTTAGGGCTTGAAAAAATGTCAAGTGCGTATATGATATCAGGTGCGTGTAACAAGCGGTATGTAATAGTATCAATATAAATGTATATGAATATACGACCCGTAGTTCTCAAGTAATAAAGAACAATATTTCTTTATAAACATTTATGACTTTTTCGATATCTCGGATGCTGGGCTCAATGGTAGCTTTGTATGAGCTGGCAGTTGCAGATCTTAGACTTTTCGTATAAGTAGCATAACTGAAGTTTGTGCAGATTTTGGAAACTTTTATACAATTCTTTGCAAATTGGCATCTGATGGACCTTAAAATGGAAACAACTTGGCATACAGAGAAAGACCATGATACGTTTTTTTTTTTATGGCTAGTGATCATTTATGTAGAATAGTTTGAATAGTTTTCTATCAGTTTGTTATATATTGCTAATCCGATCGTCCTTCGTACTAAAGTAATCCGTCATTATGTTTAAGAATATAAGGCTTAATTGTGTTCGTTTCAGAACTAAACATTGTTTTCCGCAAATAACACGTGAAATATTTAAAATGTTATATGGTCCCAAACGCAAACCCAATTTCATGTTTGTTTACACAAATTTTGTCTGGCAAGAGACCCCTCTCTACATTCCTTCTTTAGAGATAATTTGACATTGTTATTGCAAGTATCTTAAAACAGAACATCCTTTAATTTCAGTGTTATTGTTTTTACTGCTTCCAAAATAATTAATGATTGGAGCTTTCAGTCAGAGCGTTCCTGATCTCATCTTTTACAGATTGGATGTAGTTTAATTTGGGAATTTTGGAACGAGAGAAGACATTTTGCATCTTGGGTCTTTTTAATCTAGAGGGTTCAATAAGGATGATGATTCGCAGTGCTTTTACATTGTTCACCATATCGTTTGAATTTTTTTTTTCATATTTGTTCTAAAAAGATTCTTATCCCCACCAAGAAGCGGGGATTATCATTACTTTTTGCTGAACCATTAAAATTAACTTTTTGTCAGATTTAATCTTGAATAGTTATATTGGATTAATAATAAGACCTGCAGATGTGGTGTTTTCATTGAAACAGTTTTCGTGTTTCATGTTTTCAGTTTTGATCAGAAACTCCATAATTGATTTATGGCCTATTGCATAAGCGATGCTCAGTTGATCGATGTGGATTTTTCTTGTAAACTTATATTTCTTAAACTATGTGAAGTTAAGCATTTTTATGTGTTCTTGCCCAGGGGATGATTTAATGATGTATTTAGAGGTTTATTTTGTTTATTGAAAATGGTGGTTTGTCCTATTGTATGACCTATACATTGACATTTTACAACTGACTCTGTTCTCATTCTAATGTCTTACATTTCGGATGTGTTTGTGATGTAAATTTTTAGATCTTGGGCTATCCGAGACATCCGATTAGCCAAAATAATGTATTAAAAATCAGCTTTTACTCTTTAACGGACGTTTTAATCAAACTTGACTGTCAATAATGCAATGGCTAACTCTATTCTTTACATTTATCCATCGTAAGACTTGTGGTCGAGGCCATTCTAAAATTACAGTAAAAAAAGAATTGTGAGTGTCCCCCACATTGAAAAAATCTATTACCAAATGAAGATCCGCTCAAGATTTTATTTGTATTTTATCGGTTTTTGTCATTGCTAGAGATAAGCTGCTTACAGTATTAAAATACCAGGGGTAATTTTATTGTCCCTATGTTATCGTCCCTCCCCTTCTGAAGTTCAGCAAGTACGCCAGGATTTAATATTTGAAGCTAATACACTATCTACCTCAAGTCACTAATCGGTTATTTATCACTTCTTTAATAATCTAGAATACCCTTTTGTTTAAAAATGTTAATAAATTTATATTGTAATGATACATACAGCAGGGACAGAAGAATCATTTTCATCTCCGTCAGACAATTCACGTAAGTATAATGAAGTTTCTTAAAAGTATATATTAATGAAAATTTCTAATAAAATAACAAAATTCTTTAAAAAGTTACAATAAAATAATAGAATTAAAAAAACACATTTTTTTTATTGGTTTCTCGAAATATAATAATGTACTTCAAAGATTGTAGCAACAAAAAAAAAAGTTCTTTATTAAAAGTTATATCAATATGTTAGGCAAAAATATCATTTTCCCTTCTTTTTTTATCAAGAGAACAAAGTATTTTTGAAAAACTATTTTTCAAAGAAGATTATCTGTATAATATTCTAGAGACTGACCGAAAATAATTTTCTGATTTCAGCCAAAACCAAAACTGGGCCGAGAGTTAAAATAGACTTTCTGCCCAAACCGAAAATAGTCCGAAATTAAAAAAATGACTTTCGGACGACAATGACGCATTTTCCCCATTTTCATATCTATAACGTGACTCTCCGCGATGGTTTCATTCGAATCTCGCCGACTAATCTAATTTAAATTTTTTATGATGTTTCTATATATTTTTATAGTCATTATAATGGTGAGAAGCTTTTAAAATCGGAATAAAAGTTTTTAGACAAACATTGCAAGTGTGCGGCTTTGAGAAAAGTTTTAAAAGGTAAGTTGACGGGTAATGCACCACCATAATTGTGTAAATCGTATCAATCTGATACAATATCAAAGGATCCCTATTAAATTTGCCACTAGTGTTTACGAGTGTGGGAAATTCCCAGCATGTCAGCTCGTTCACTTTCAAAATCTTCTTCTTCTTATGCCTTTTTACCCAGTCTGGGCCATAGGCAATCCACAAGAAGTATCCATTCATCACCATCCTTTGCTTTCCTTTCCACTTGTTTCCAGGTGTAGCCCATATTTTGCGTGTCTTCCTTTAGCTCACGTCTCCAAGTAGAATTTGGCCTCCCTATCTTTCTTTTTCCCTGTGGATTCCATATTAGGAATTGTCTAGTGGTGCTATTTGGGGGTTTTCGGAGAGTATGTCGTATCCATCTCCATATTTTCCTTAATTACGATGTCTTCGTCGATGGGCACCTAATGAGTCCTTTCTAGTAGATATTTGTTGGTGATAATTATTGGCCATTTGATTTTCAGGATCCTTTTAAGGAATGTGTTTATGAAGGTCTGTACTTTCTGCGTAGTGCTCTTTGTTCTTTTTTTCAAGTTTCTGCTCCATATAGTAGAACTGTCTTTCAAAATAAGGTTAGTCAAAAAGAACATTACCACGATAGAATATAAAAATTCATTCTACCTACTATAACTGCTTCCTTTGTATCAATAAATTATAAAAAAACGGCCTGCTCCTGCATACTGCTTGAAACGTATTAGCATTTTAGGCCTTCGTGGAAAAGGATTGGGTTGTTGTTCCTGTACTAACTAATCCCAAATGGCTCATGGACCATAATTTTCTTGTTGACATTACACGGAAGCTGAATGTACTCAAAAATAAATTACAAGACCAGGGGTAGTTGTCAGTGTTGCCTTTGACAATGTCAGGGCATTCTGCACAAAACTTGTGCTATGGTTATAAGAGAAACCTCTGCCATTTCCCATCATGCAAAGTACTCCTGGACTCGGCTACACCATTCAGTAGTAATTTAGTAGTAAGTATGCTGATGCCATTGCAAAGCCACAGAAAGAATTTGATCTCATTTTTTAGATTTAAAACACAGACAGCCACTTTTCATCTTTTTGCTGACCCTTTGTCCTTTACTGTGCAAGATGCCCGTGCGGGTAGCTTAATTGAAAAGAGACAAGCATGGACATTTTTTGCATTGCCCTCCACCATCGCTGTGATTTCCAGCTTGTTCAAGCGGATCATATGACTTTTTGTAAGTAGCTATCTGCATTAAAAGCTCTTTTCTACTATTCACTTTAACAAGTCAAGTTTAAGGGCCAAACTTACTGATGAGGATCTTCGAGCTTTACGGAGAGTCTCAAATGCTTCCTCAATCAATCCAATTTTCTCAGATGTGTAAAAAAAAAAAAGTGCTGCCTGATCTCTGGCAACAGTGAGTTGGCGGAAGAAAAAGAACACAGCTGTTTAGAAGCCTCAATGATTTTATTTTTTTTTATAAATGTTAAACAGATCTTAAAAGTTAAACTTTAATGAATTTGTAATTGCTTTATTGTTGAATACTTGATGTGACCAAGTCTCAATCAGACGCTACCTCCTGCGGCCTCCCTGATGATCTGAGTTTGAAATCCTTTATCTAATGAATATATTGGCTTTTACCATTTCAATTTAAAAGTAATTTAAATTGTTTTAAGATTTTTTAAATTTGTGTGGAAGGAAAAAATTTGGAACAAAAAAAAAGGGTGGGGGGGGGGCAAAATTAATGTAAAATAGACATTTGAGTGCTCTTTTCTCTTATAATATGATGACAACTTAGAACCATATACCTACAATAATTATTATGGCTCTAAGAGAGCCAATTGCCACCTAAATAAATGTTATTAAGGCTATAAAAATATCATCACAATGTTTCGCTGTATTCGTCATACTAATGCTTTGTGTTTTCATTACTAGCCGCAAGATATCACTGAATTATTATTTAGATTATGAACAACACACTAAATCTTCCTGTGCTGGTGACGTTATTATTCCGTTCATTAACCAACCTCCCCCCCCCCCTCTTTTTGATGTGGGAATTGTTTTAAACGGGGTATCTTAAAATTGCTGTTCTGATGGGGCTCGACGTAGAGTCGCAAAAGAGACTTAAATTTGTCGCAAATATCATAAAATTACACAGGTCTGCAGTAGCCCTGCTACGTAATTATAATTCTAACCAGTGACACATACACACGCATGTTTTTTCGTAAATATCAATGTTTTTTGCATGATAATGATAAAGTTTAAGAAATGAATGGTTTTTAAAAGTCCTAAAATTTACCTTTTAAAATAAAAAATTAGACCAAAAAAAAAGGAAATTTAACCATTTCCATGGATTACGCAATATTATTCACCTTTGCCTATGACAACATTGATGATCATGATAATGATAAATCAACATGAATATCAAAATGGAAGGAATTGAATAAACCTTGGGTTCCCAATTTTTTTTTTGAAACAAAATTTAAACAAAACTAATGATATAATTATTACAATTCCCGAAGTTTTTCTTGCAAAAAACTTTTTACATTTGTCTAGGCCTATTTAAAATGCAATTGTTTGGAAATATGGGAGCATTAGGTCATCATGCAGCTGTGGGCAGCTCTCGCTGAATATTACTCATATAACAAACAGTGACAGCAAGACGTCGATCACTAATGAATATCTAAGTCATTTCGGCTAGACTAAAAAGAAACCGAAAGTTAACTTTTCTCTTTAAATCGAAACCGAAATTGAGCCGAAAGTTAACTTTTTACTTTCGGCCGAATCCGAAACTAGGCTTAAAGTGGATAAATTGCAACTTTCAGCGCCGAAAGTGAAGCTGAAGCCAAAATTCGGTCGGTCTCTATAATACTTTTTTTGATAATTTATGTTAGTAAATATAATAAGATGTTTTTAAATAAAAAAAAAAAAAATTGTTGAAAAGTTAACTAAAAATAAAATTTTTATGATGATTTATTGTCTGAAATATTGTCAGAAAAAAATTTACTGTTTCAATATTGTTTCATATATTCAACAAAGAAATCAAGTAAATAATAAATATTTAATAATTTGGACTATCAGAAGCTAGATATAAAAATGTTTATATATTTATTTGTATGATGCATTTTTCATAATATACATGTGTCTCTCTTTTACAATCTTTCTCTCGCTCACTCATATAGTCTTACATGTATATATTATTGTGTGTTTGTTTTGACTTTCTAAAATATTTACTTACAGCCTTAAAGCACAGTATTACAATTGTAAATGATTTAATGAAAGATAACTTAAGACAATTGGCCAAAGAATTTATTGGTAAATATAAAACAACTAAAATATTGTTTTTAAATATATTAACTATTATATATATATGTATGTATGTTTGTATGTCTCGTATGCGCTACTATACCATTAATCCGTTTGCGACAAAACTTTAGTGAGTTTTTGTCCACATAACCGGACATTTAAATGAGTTATTAAAATCGTTTTTGGCATTTAGCTCTTAATACATTTTTTTTTGCACTAGCTTTATAGACAATTTTTTCCGTATGCGCTCCCACACCATTTATCCGATAGCGATAAAAATTTGGTGAGATCTTGCGAGCACGGCCGCATAGATTTTTTTAATTATTACGACAATTTTGAAATATTCAATTTTAAGTCAGTGCCCATATGTTCGTTCTTTTTAATATAACCTATATAAATACCTTTTCAAAACGTATGCGCTCCTACATCACTCATGCGATTGCGACAACACTTTGGTGAGCTATTGTCTATAATTCGCATATTTTACTGAATCGTTACAACACTTTTAAAATATTCAGTTTTTCGCCGTTGGCCCAAAATTCATATTTTTTCTTATATGAGATTTGAACAAAAAACATTTCTGCATGCGCTCCTAAACCAATTCTAAATGACCCGATGTTATCGAAATAATAATGATACATCATTTGCGATAATATCTAACTGCTATTGAAAAAACTCAACACAGTTCATAACTTTAAAAATGTAGTGATATTTACGTTTCTATTATCATTCAGTTTTGATGATTATTTATCTGCTATATATTATAAGCCTCCCTATTTCTTTTTTCGCTCCTGAACTACTTTTTCCCCCTCTAAACATGACCTCAAATTGCTCAGTCTTAATTATCACTAATTATATCACTTTTGTCACTAAAGAAGTTAATTGAGGACATTACTACGTTTTAGAAATACTTTAGATTTTTTTACTCTAAAAATTGTTTAAGAAACTTACCTTAAATTTACACCAAAAACTCTCTATATGATATAAAATTACTTTATATTATAGAAATTCGATATATATTTATATATTCAGCAAAAATTTAAACACATTTTGGCTTATTAAAAGAGAATGTAACATCCCTTTTTTCACAAATCTATTAATTTTTTTTCTATTAAGGGAACCATAAGTATAATTTATTTCAATTTGAAAATATAAAAGAACCATTTCACAATTGTTGGTATTTTTAAATTAAAAAAATAAAATACACATTAATTCGAAGTCCATAAATTTAAGAATATGGAAAATTTGGTAGAATTATTTATCAAAGTTTGGTAGAGTTGTTATACAAGTTTTGAAAAAAAGGGGGGGGGGCGGGTGAAATGAAGAAAAAAAGGATGCATGCATGTCTCACAATATAAGGAAACATAAATCAAGAAAATATTAAAACGTAAGAAAAACCTTTTCTATAAACTATCACATACACAGTAACAAAACTCATACACTAAGACTTATGCCCAAACCAATATTTTTATATTGCTAACACCAAAGAGAGATTTAATACATAATATATAAAAGAAAATGATATACTCTTTAAAAAAATATTGTTGCAGAAAAATAAAGTAGAATACTATCGAAAGGAAAAAATCAGAGTATGCAAAAATTACTCTACATTTACAAGCTTGTTGGGCAAAATACAGTATAACTGAGCAAACAGACAAACAGTAAGGAGCATCCATTTAGTGTCTCATTTGTATTTATTTAGTTTACATGTTTTAATAATTGTAAAGCGCTTAGAGCTTTATGATAAGCGCTATATAAAAATGCCTAAATAAATAAATAAATAAATAACCAATAAGTATCTTCCCCACTCAAGACTGCAAAAATGATTATCAACAAAAACTAAAAATGCTGAAATAATAATTTATTTTTTTTTTAAAATAATATGCGCGAGTTAAAATTTTTTTCACATTTCGTTTTTGGCCCGGGGGGGGGTGGCTTGGGGCCGAATTGTTGTTTTGTTTCTTACATAAGCTTTATAATTAAAATTAAGAAGAAATACTCTAACATGAAGAAAAAGTTCTTGAGCAAATTTATAACACATTTCATGTTTCCATAATCAAGCTTTATAAGTATCACTACCATTAATACACTCTATCATCCATTTTCGAATACCGAATGGTACAGAACTCATAATGTTCATTCCTCTGGGGCAGGGACCCAATTTCATATGTCTTTAAATAAGCAATATAACTATTGTTAGGAATAGACAGCAGCATAGATTATACGGGAATTGTTGGATATAGGCGTAGCGTGGTAACAATCTACTTTATTGTCCGTATTGAAATATTAGCGGACTTAAAACTAATATATCAAATCTAGAATTTCCAGAAAATTTTATGCTTTTCAAAAGGCTATATCTATAGCGAGATTTAATGTATTTTAATTGGAAGACTTTTAAATTGATACTTTATTATATATGTAAATGTTTTTATAGCGATCCTCCCACACATCTTAGGCAAAACTGATTCGATACATTTATGGAATGGTCCCATGCTGGGGTCCAACTTTCAAATTAATTGTACTAAAACTTTGGTAGTTCATTTAATTTTATTATTTTTCATATTTGAAGATTAATTACTTAGAAAATAAATTTTGTACGCGTTTCGAGAATGATAATGAGTTAAATAAAACATGTTCCAGAAAGCTCTATCTATTCTGCGGGGATATGTAATGGTATCTAAAAGCGTTTTAAAAGTTAGGAGTAGCTCTATCCATTCCCAGATGTTCCTGGTGGTTTTCTCAATACGTGCCCTTCAAAATCATACCAGGAACAAACACCCTATCAGGACTTTGATTCTTAAGGAGAAAAAAAAAACTGGAAACCACCTGCAAAGCGATTCCATCGATTAACGGGATCAAAAGGCCTTAAACAGGAAAATGTGAACCCACCGGGATCGGAAACGCACCGGGTTTGGCATTCAACCGATGGCGGAATCACACCGGGAAATGGGATCCCACCAATATTGAAATTTCACTGGGATTTGGATCCCATTGGTATCAGGAACCTATCGGGAAACGGGATCACACCAGGATTATGATTCAACTGGGTTCGGGATGAGATCGGGAAACGGGAAATTGGCGGGATCGGGAACACAACTTACCAGAAGACCCACGGGGTAAGGAACCAAATGTTATAGTGATCTATACGGTATCGGGATCGCACAGGTAACAGGATCCTACCGGTATCGGTATTCCATTGGTTTTGAAATCCTGCTGTATCGGGATCCTACCTGCAAACGGGATCACACTTGGATTATGTTTCAACCGGGATCGGAATCACACCGAGATCAGGATCAAACCGGGAAGCGTGATTCCGACAGAATCGGGGACCCTTAATGATCTGAATTTCTTAGGTATTATATTCCCACAGATATCGGAATCCCACCGGGATAGGGATCCAACCTAGATCGGTAGCAAAACGGAATTGCGAGCCACGTGGAGTCAGGATCCCTTTGGATATCGCGATAGCTTAGGAAAATGGCCATTCATCGAGAAACGAGATCCAATAAGAATCCCTCTGGGATCGGGATCCCTTACGGGAACGAAAAGTTAACAGCAGTTATTTGAAATGTGTTTTTATAGGTGAAAAATTATTATTTTTTTTTAGGTTAGGGCGGTGGGGTAGCTAGGGGAGGGGGAGGAGGTCAAAATTTGAAAGTTCTCCCTGGCCCCTACTTGAGGGGGCACCCTGGCCCCTACTTTAGGGGGGCCCTAAAGGAGCGTCGATCATTTAATTTCCAATAAATAATGTCGAATGTCAAAATGCAGGGGCCTCCAAAGAGGCGAAGCCCCCCGGGCCCCTTGATCCCTAGCTATCCCTAGCTATCCCACTGCGTTAGGTGTTGCTTTTTTTTTAAAAAATGGGCACTTAATTTAATGTTAATAAATTAGCTGTTCATGGTGTTGTTTTTTCGAATTCTCTCCGTGCAACGCCGGGTATATTGGCTAGTATATATATGAATTTGAAAATTGGTTTGTGGGTTTGTTTCTTTATTTGTTAGTTTGTTCCACGAAGGATTTTGACATGGATTTGTTTTTGTTTTTTTAATTCTTTCTTGAGCTTTATAAACAAAATTCGCAACACATACTCCAACATGAATAGATAGATCTGTCTTGAACAAACTTAGTACAAATATACCTGATTTTCCATATTCAAACACCGAAGATTACTGAACTCTTAAAAAATATTTATTTGGGGCCAGGGACCCCATTAATACACACTATGAAAGCTATAGCTTAGAAAACACTATAGGTTCTAATTAAATTGACGTATTTAGGCCTAGCAATAACCTCAATTGCCGTAATGAAATATAGGTGAATTTAATGCTAAGAATATCTCATCTAGACTTTTCAAGAACGTTAATAGTTGTTTTTTTTTTAAATTCCTCTTTAAAATTATTAAATACATTTTAATGGGTCAGTTTTTAATAGTTATCTCCATTAATGATTTTAATAATTTTAATAGGCCCACATCTTATGCAAAATTAATTCGGTAGCATTATGGAATGGGACTCTCTTGAGCCCCTCTCTCCACTTAAATGCACTATTGTTATAGAAGTGCATTTATTTGTATAATATTTCTTCGTATTCGAAAAATGATTACTTAGAAAAGTATTATTTTTTTTACACGCTTCGATGTGGATATTTCATGTTAACATAAAATACATTGTTTTACGGGGATTTGTAAAAGGATCTAAAAGCTTCTTGAAATATTAGTTTAGTTTTGATTAATTTATTTACTTTGATGGGATTTTCTTTAAACATATACTTCATAATCCTACCTGGAAAAAAAATCCGGCTGCAAACAAGATCTCAACAAGAAATAGGATCATAAAAGGGAACGAGTAAACTGACGATGCAATTGAGTAATGGGATCAACGGGGGATCCTATCAGCAAACGTGATCTCATCGGAGTTACGAATTCCATCGGGAAAGTTATCCCAAAGAGAACGAGATCCTATCTTGATTAGGACCCCCAAAAATCGTATAACCACGAGAAAAGGTATTCACCTAT